GCCCAAACAACATTGCAAGGTTGCCAACATGCAATGTTGTATATGCTGTGGGTTTAGGTCTGCACTTACAAGTCCGGAACTGAACCTAAACCTCTGGACTTGAATCCAGACCTGAACCTAAATGTGGGTTTAGGTATGCAACACTATGACTGGTAGATGAAAAATGATGATCATACTGTTTCCTTTTTTGTTGTTGCTGACTTTGAGTTTGACACAATCTGTTGCTGTCAGGTTAATCGAATCCTGCAGTGTAGTTTTATTCAGGCTAGGTCCTCTATTGTACCTGTGAATAGTGCTGTGTTCCTAAACCCATGTTTTTTGATATTGAAGATTAGAATGAATAGGAGAATGTAACAAGAACCAGTTGTACTAGTTCCAGACATTCAGGTTTTGGGGACTTCAACCTGAACATTTTTACAAGTCCAGAACTAGTTCCAGCAAACCAGGTACACAGCACTAGCGGTGAAGTTCAAATAGACAAGGCTTAGCATTAATATTGTTTTGTTTTCTGCAGGTGTGGCAAGCAGCATCCGCGAGGCTGCCACGCCCAATGATGTACTCATTGATGAAGTTGAGGTGCAGAAAGTTGACGGAGGGTTCTCTGTCTCCTTCATTCCCTTCAACTGTGGATACAACCTTCCTCTCATGACATCTCAGGTACAGAATTGGGCTATTCCATACACATTGTTTAAAGCTATCTATTATGACAATGCCCCTACTGTACTTGGTGACAGCGAGTTCCAATCTGCGATAGTTCTTACTCATCTAGGAAAGAATGAATTTTTGAACACCTCAATCCTTGGTTAATAACTCTGGCTTGTTTGTTTGTTTATTGCGATCTCCATTAGTATGGTTTTTACTAATTAAAATTCCATACTATTCTTCCTGGAGTCCAACATAAAATAAAATAACAAATAAATAACAAATAATCATAACATAATAATGATAATTACTTTTAGCAAAAATGATAATAAATAAACCATATAAAATTATGTTGAAATTATGACAAACTTGAAACAAAATCAGCATAGAGAAATAAAAGTGCATTGGAGGCATGGCTAAATGTTCTTTTCTGGGCTGGTATTAGGTACTTAGTAGCTGGTACGTCCACCAGTTTATTAGTCAGAATATAAAGTTAAGTTCTCATTTTTGTTTGGTGTTATATGAGGTATGTGTACTTGCCTTTTAGGGAGGAGTAACCATCACACGAGAGGTCTCAGGCAGTCCACCAGTCCAGGGTACTTTTGACATCACCTTTAAGGGCAGCACTTCTACAGGTACACAACATACAATACTTAACATCTGTTAGATTTATACTATTATCCATAATAATTATACATTGTATAATTATGTAATATCATATATTAATCATCTCAAACTGAGAAATTGAAGACACATATCATTATGATTTTTCAATGCCATTAACTATGTACATTAACATTATTATATATTTCTTAATACCTGATTTGATTAATCATCTAGTGAGAGCTGAGGCCACAGAGGAGGAAATGGCCAACAAGCTGAACCTTGACCTTGGCATATCGGCCAGGGTGACCTTGGAAGGCGACTGTTCTGCACCGAAATGGGAAGTGGAGTGGGTCACTGCAGGGGGAAACCAGCCTGAAATGGAGGTATGATAATTTATGTTAACACATTCTGTGATAAAAAAGACGCAACGTTACATATTTGATACTACATGTATATAAACTGTAAATTACTGAGTGTGTATACAAAAATCCGAAGTAGGTTACTAGTGGTATAAAGTCATTATAAGGTCATTATCAGGTCATTGAATATGACTTAACAAGTCCATAATTATATTAAAACGAACTTTCATTGCATGATTACCATGAAGGACAAGGAAAGGACCAGGAAGCTGTGCTCATAATTAAGTGATTCAAAGTCTTAAATGATGATCCAAATGTTCATCATTACAAATACCAGTATAACAGGACTTTTTTGGTCATAATTGAATTTTCCTGCACATGTCACAGTTGGATGGAGGAGCTTTGACAGGAGATGACGTTGCGATTGACGTGAGAACCCTGGATGATGGCGGGCTGTTCTTCATTACCATGCCCGGCAGTATGCTGCGTACTGCACATGACACTCCACAGGTAGGAATAGTCATCAGAACGTGAAGATTGCTATCAGTCAAGTCCATGTTATTTATTTGGAGCAGCTCTCTGACACTACAGCTTACCTGTCCTCTACTGTTACTCACAGTCTCTTTATTGTAAATTATTGCATGACTTGACCTTACATCTGTGTATACATGTAGTCGGTATAACTGCCCCTCGGCATAACACACCAGCTTCACAGGCATGCAGTGCAGCTGGCTATATTACACTGAACAACTTGTTCCTCTTAGCCTTTGCACATCTAACTCGTACTTTGTTTAAAGCTATTATCTAGTGATATCATGTGAAAGGGGAGGATTCCCCTCTTCTCAGAAGTCTGAAGAAATCTTCGATTTGTAAAAAAAATTTTATCTGTTGCTTCAGTTTGAGGTGACCATCAATGGCATTCCGTCCCGTTGTGAGGGAGACTGTGGGTTCACCTGGGCAGCAGACAGGACCCCAACCATCACCAGCATCACTCCTGACCAAGGTATTCATTTCTATCAAGACACACTATGTTAAATGTCAATCCTACAGATTACATACTTGAGACATAAAGTTAGAAAATCTACATTACCAATTAGACACCTCAGCTTTCTCTTGACCTCGTTGAGGGCCATTGGGGCACAATGACTTGGTCCACTATCCTCCTCTGCCGCTTTTATGGCTTCAGCTAAACTCAATCCAGTCTATTCTCTTATGGTTGTCTTTCCACCTCTTTCTCTGTTACTGTATAAAATGACAAAAATTTTTTCTACAGTTCTTTTACTGTACTTTTCTGTAACATGAAGGAAAAGCAAAATAATGGAGTTTTTGGACTAGATAAAATGTGAATCTGTAGTTGGTGAGTGACCTGACTAGTTAAGTGGATGTGACATCAAGACATAATGGGTTGTAGAAAATAGAACTCTTCTTTCGTTGTTGTCAACAACTCGACCATGCCCTATGCAGGTACTGGAGGGACTGAGGTGACCATTGCTGGGACTGGCTTCAGCGCAAACTGTGACGACATGAGGGTTAAGATTGGCCGCTCGGGGGATACGGAGGAGGGCGCGAGGTGCACACCAACCACTTGTACCGAAACATCTATCATCTGTACTGGTAAGCATTTAGTTCCTTCTAGTTCTATAATTGCCTTTTCAAGTCTTTTTCTTTTTTAAAAATGGTCAGTATTTGGGGTTGACAAAATCCCACAGACTCTTCTTAGAGCTAAATGAATTGGTAGAAAGTGCTGTAATAAGGTTAATATTTATTGTCAACTGCACATTTACTTTAGATGGGGACATTGCGAAATTTCCTTAATGGACAGTATGTTAAACCTGACACACTGTGTAATTATGAAGTTGAACTTATCATATACATTGTACTCAGTGATACTTGTTTAGACCAATAGAAGAGCTTTTTAGGATTATTGAGATCCGTTTCTTTCTGGTTTTAGCTGGCAGTGCGGGACAGGGAAGTCAGACAGTAAAGGTGAAGGTGATGCCACATGGAGATGACCCAGATGCCAGCCCTAACGGGAAGGCTGCAGGAGACGTCACTTTCACCTACCTGGGCGGCATCACCAGCATCAGCCCTGATACCTCTGGACTAGGAGGTGATCATCTATATTTGCTATATACATGTATATGTGTATGGCTTGAGTGTGTGCGGTGTGTGTGTTAGACTCTGTGTGTGTGTGTGTGTGTGTGTGTGTGTATGTGTGTGTGTGTGCGTGTGTGTGTATGTTAAACTACCCTGTATGTGTGTGTGTGTGTGTGTGTGTGTGTACATGTATGTGTGTACTGTGTAGTATATTGTCAGCGAAACTGTGGCGTCTGAGTGGTGTAGTGGATAGAGCGTCCGACTGTCAAACAAGCAGACCCAGGTTCAATCCCCAGGGTTGGACCCAGACATGTCCGGACTTGCACCCAGACGTTGTGCCCTTGGGAAAGGCACTTAACACACATTTCCTCCCTCAGTTAGAGGGTTCCTGGGCCCTACTAGGGTTTGGGTTGGCGTTAGGAAGAGCATCCAGCCATAAAAATCTTGCTTAAAAAAAAAGACTTGTACCTGGTGCAAGCACGTCTAACCCCCGGTTGGGGAAAAATGACGTTAAATTCGGTTAAAAAAAAAAAAAAAGAAACTGTGTGTATCTGGCTCCCGGTGTTGACTTTGTGTGTGTGTTTTTGTCTTGTAAATGTGTGTCTGTGTGTGTGTCTGTCTTCTTTCAGCAAAATTGTATGTGTGTGTCTCATGTACATGTAACGTTATACATGTATGTGTATTTGGGTAAGATTGTGTGGGCATATGTGTATCTGTTTGATGTTTTGTTAGAAAACTTTTTCCTGTTGTTTCATGAGCTTGTCTGACATTCTTGTGATTCTCCCATTAGGTGGTGTTGACTTGACTATCTCAGGAAATGGCTTTGCTGATGACGACACCCCCAGAGTCGGCGAAAACGATTGCGCCATTGTATCCCGTACCAGCTCCGAGATCGTCTGCACTGTGCCAGCTGGGGTGAGAAAACCTTATAGTTTTGTTACTTCTGGGAACGGAAATATTGTTTTGGGTGGGCTGTGTGTGGGTTTGTGTGTTTGTTTGTGACCATGTGGGTGGTGGAGGATTGACAGGCAGAATGACAGAAAAACAAAAGGCCAAACACAGGAAATAGGGTCAACTTGAAGATCTCAGAGTCTGGCAGGAATTAGAAGTCAGCATTTGGGGAATTCGGGAAACTAGCAACCCTCAATCAGTGGTGCAGGTGAACTTTAGTGCAAAAAATTTGAAGTCGAAAAGTATTTTGAGTCCTGACAGAGTTAGGGAAAACAGGAAAGGCCTTCTAAAGTAAGGGCTTACATATAAATGTATTTGTTGCCTGTAGTCCTCTGCAGGTGCTGTGGATGTCACTGTCAGTGGGCCAGACGATGATGTACTGACTAGTCCTACCCAGTTCACGTACAACGAGGCTCTGACTCCTGTCATTTCCAGCTACACGCCTGAAGACATCACAGTGGCTGGTAAGGAGGCTATGTCTAACAATGAAGAAGTTGAAATATAATTATATTTATCAATAATACCATCATGCATTGTATACGCCCTGTGGAATCTCTGATTTCTTGACTGAAACAATGTTTACATGTATATTTAGAAGATTCATCGGATCCTAAATGTATTGGATATTTGGTGAGTTATGATACGCCCTTGCCGTTCAGGTGGAGATACCTTGACTGTGGAAGGCACAGGTTTGGAGATTCACCAGCACTGACTCTGGACTGTGACAGTGAAACTGTGTCTCTGGAAGGTAAGAAATCCAACTCTAGATTGATTCATTCACACTTCTTTTTCTCTGCTGCCCAGAAGTAGATTCTGATGGGTATTCTTGTGCTTGAACCATTGGCACTTGTGCATTGTGATTATTATCTCTATATTCAAATTGTAACTAATTTGCATGCTCTGGGCATAGAAAACTACTAAATATATCCTTTTGTGGTTTGTAGCCAAATAATTGATGGTCAAACTTCGCGTTTTTTGTTTTCCCTTGCAGCCAGTGTTACAGAGAGTGGCGGTGTGACAGCTACCCTGCCCTCCCTCAGCCCAGGAGAGTGTAACATCCTCCTGTTTGTGCCTGGCAGTGGCTACGCAATGGTTCAGGAAAGTTCAAGGAAGAGGTCTGCTAACAGGTACGGACATGAAAATCTTTAAATTTGGGGATACTAACTAGAGACTACATGGAGACAGTCAAGCTCACTTTACCTATTGTCATTCTCACTTCACCTACTGGTAACCAAGGGAATGCAGAAGACAATCTTCTTTTTTTAGTCAGTAAATTTTAAATCTACCTTTGTCATGATTGGCCATCATAACAGTCATTATCAGCTAAGCACAATGTACTGACAATTCTTTTTTTTTCATCAGGACATGGTTGTAGTCACAAAATATGTACACATGTATATTCCGGAATTCTTAAGACAAGAGGAAAATCTTTAGAAATGACCCTGTTAACTTCATGATTCTGTATTCCCAGGTTTAGATTTGCCAGCATCAGTGTGACACTGAAAGTGACTGGAATGGACGTGTCAGAGGGCTCGCTGTATGGAGGCACCTTGGTGACCCTTGAAGGGAACGGGTTCAGTGAGGAGGCAGCAAACAACGAGGTCATGTTTGGTGAAATTGGCTGTGAGGTGAGCAAGATTTTTTTGTACTCTGATATGAAGGTTTTGTTTGTCTGTATGCTTGTGTGTCCGTAGTTAATTATTTGAATACAGTAGAGTGGCAGGAATCGGGGATGATTATGGTGTGACTGCAGATGGGAGTGACAGGAAATGAAGTTCAGGGGTTCAAAAATTTACTGGTTTTGAGAGGTTCTGACTAGTTCTAAACTGGTTTCCACAGGTTGAGACCAGTTCTGACAGCAGGATAACATGCAGGACAGGAAGCACTGCTACGAGCCATACTGTCACCAACGATGGATCACATCCAGGTAAGACACAAACCACAAGAGGTTGTGGGGAGATAGACTTTTATAAATTTGCAAGGCCGAGAGACCACTAACCGAACTAAGTCCTGGGTACTGGGATAGCAAATTCCCCTTAATCAGAAACACCAATGCTTGAAGCAAGCTTGACTCACTGAAGATGAGGACCAATGACCAACCAAATAAGAGAAGTATTATACTCGGCTAGGGATGCAAACCCAGAACTTTTAGATTCTATGTATACATGTAAGTCAACAACTCTACAGTTTGTAACTACAAAACCACTGTATCAAGAACTATGCCTGTCTCATATTGGCCTGAGAGGGTTAGAATTAGCTTCTGCTGCACATAGTCTCATTTGTGCAATTGACAAGGACTAAAAACAGCTCTAAATACAATTAAGCCTACAAAAGTTGCCACTTTGATCAAGTATCTTTGTATTTTGCAGAGTATGGAGCTGGCTATGCTTGGGAGCCTGCTGATCTGACTGTCACAGTTGGTGATACGGTAGTCTGGAGGTGGGCGTCCAGTGGGTCTGGTGCTGCATACGGCATCCACCAAACAACTGACTCTACTGGGGAGGAGCAGGCTGGCTTTAGCAGCGGGGAACAGACAAGTTCAGGTCAGTTTTGGTCGTTCTTTTACAAGAAATAACTTTTTTGTCAACCAATGTAGTAGATTCTCTAGTATATGTAAGTGACTATACTAAATAAGTATGTACCTTCATGTCATCTTGTGCAAAATATTCCTTGATTATCATTTCTTAACTCTGTTTTAAGTGATCTTAAGTGGTACATCATCTTGCTCAAACTTTGTAGATAAGGAAAAACAAGAAAGTTGAGAAAATAATCCTTGTATCTTTTTAACAGTATGAAAAAAATAAGAATCATCTTGCTTAAACTTTCTTAAAATTTTTAAGATTCTTGTTGGTGAGCATGACACTAGAAATATTTTCTTTTCTTAAAAGAAAGAAGAATAAAATTGTTTGCGTAAGAATCAACAAACAAAAACTTTGAAGAATGTTTCTTGAATTTTCTTGAACTTCCCCTTGATAAGAAAATAATTCTCAACATAAGAAAATAAGAAGAAACATTTTTGGTAGTGTATCTATCTGGGTGACAATTTCATTATGGAAAGTTTGCTTCCTTTCTCAGGTGCCTTCCAGCAGTCCTTTAAGACTGTGGGAACCTCCTACTACACCAGTGGATGTGTGGATGCGGAGTGTAATATCAAAATGCTGGGGAAGGTTCGGGTTGTTGCTGCAGAAGATGTCGGCAAAGCCTTGTCAGTGACGGTGCATGGAAAGGAGGCCAATCAAATCCCAAGATCTTCAAGACGAAGGAGAAATGGAGCACAGGATCCAAGTGGTAATTAAGAATCCTTTTCAATCATGCCAGGTGTCAAGATTTTGATCCTAGATTAAACTAATTCCTGGACTTTCTTTTCCTGCACCAATTGCCACCATGAATATATAGTTCTGTGTCCGTTTTTCTAAGACCATGAAATTCTGCTACTGTGAACATAAAGTGAATTACTTTTCTTTTACTATAACTAGTATAAGTATAAAGTTTACTGAGCCTGATGTGTGTTAACCTTTCCAGGGTCCTGTCCTGGTGGGACAGATCCCCTGCTGCCCTGCCCCGGAGACCCACCTGAGGCACCTGAAGGCGCCGTCTACAGCTTCAGCTTCCGTAACTGCATGACTGCGGAGGCCTCCGGCAGCGTTACGCAGGGCACCGCTGGGACCCTCCTCACCTTCCAGGGCAGAGGCTTCAGCACTGAGGCTTGCGAGAACGTGGTGATGATTGGGGACCACCCCTGTGAGATCGAGACTGCGTCAGCCTCCACTCTAACCTGTCGGGTTACCCCGGGCAATGACATGCCCGTGGGGATGCCCCAATTCGTGTCCGTGAATGCCAAGAACCGTGGTTCTGCCATTGTAACAACCTCTGACACATTCGTTCTCTTGCCGGCCATTACATCTGTGTCGCCTGAGCAGGGCTCTACTGAAGGAGGTACAACCGTCACGATTTCTGGTTCAGGGTTCACCGCAGGGGCTGACGGTACGACAGTCAGGATTGGATCGTCCGGATGTGTCATCCAGTCCGTGACGTACAACGAGATTATCTGCACGACTCAGCCGGCGTCGGCTCTGACCAGGGACGTGGTGGTGACCCAGGTGGTGAACGGAAACTCTCTGGGCGCAACCTGCGATGGCACCTGTCAGTTCAGCCACAGGGTAAGTGTAGGAACTGGAGAGGGGGGTAGCTGGACACTTGAACATCTGAAACTTTACACTACAAGTTGCAGTTAAAGGACTGAATTCCACAAGTAGGTCATAATGATATCTTAACTCTTACTTTACCTTGATTAGCACCTTAGTTCCTCCTGTGCCCTTAACTCGCACAACCTTAAAGATATATCTAAGTGTTACAACAGCACATAATGTCAGCCATGGGAAAAGTGTACTATAAAACATCACTACAATGATGAGGTTTTTTTTTTTCTTTCAAGGATTCTGCAACACCGAGAGCTGTGAGTATCGAGCCGACCACTGCATCTGGAGCCTCCACCGACTTTACCATCACTGGAGCCCTGTTCGGAACAGATTCGGATGCTGTCACCGTGGAGATTGGAGGCACACCCTGCGAGGTCACTGCGGTGACTGACAGCTCCATTTCCTGCACGACTGGACCCCTCCATGTCGGCAGTAACGACGTGAGCGTGGTCAATGCTCTTGGCGCTGCTACGTCATCCCTCACCGTGGACAGCCTGGCACAGGCCGACAGTGTCTCACCATCCTCTGGCAGCATGGCAGGTTTGTAGAACTGTGCCTCTATTAATCTATGCCTATATATGTGGGGCCGTGTGACGTGTTTTGATTCAGCCTTGAACCAAGAGGTGTATGGTTGGAATTCTACCTTGTCACCAATCTTGTGCCCTTGGGAAAGGCAACCTAGCTTTGGTTAGGGACATCCCTCGGATAGGACGTTTAAAGGAGGACCGTGCTTGGGGAGAGCCACAACCCATGCACGTTAAAGAACCTACCACACCTTTCGAAAAAGAGTAGGGGCGTGCCCCGGTGTGCGATGGTCCAAATACTTAAATATCTGATTACTCACTACGGACTCCAGGAAGAGTAGTGTTAAATTCACACTAATGGAGATCCTAAACAAACAAACAAACAAATGCGACAGGTAACACACTTTTTACCTGTAACAGGTGGCACCGTCGTCACAATCTCTGGGAATGGCTTTGCAGACGACACAACCATTTCCATGGGAGACGCAGGCGATTGTGAGATCACTGAGCTCACAGCAACCAGCATTTCATGTGCTACTCCTGCAGGTAAGACATCAAGCAGCTGTTTCAGTGTTTGTTAACTGGTTTAACAGCCTCAAGATTAATTCCGGACTCCAGTGCTACATGTAACTGTAATATACGTCTTTACAATCATGCAGTGTTGAATCTAATTCCAGCAGTTATTCTAGCATAAAAGGAGGCACTTAGAATCAGTTATGAGGACTCCAGTGTTGTGCTAGAAAAATGTTGTGCTGCATATCTCGCTGTGATTTTGCTATTTGAATATAGTAATATCAGACACTGAAAATGCAGGAATTAGTACTTTTTTGTCATTGGAAATTAACTGTTTCTTAGGATTGTGTTATTGTGGAAAATGATCAGTACCAAGGACAGGGTTTCAAAGATGTTCTGTGCTAGAAATATGCCATTAATATTTGTGTAGATTATATTTAACAAAAAGCATGTTGGCTATACACTGTGTTGATGGCGTTCAGCACCAAGGACAGAAATACTCTATTTTCTAAGACTGCTCCTACAGAACATCTCAACAATTGCAGGACACAGTAAATTACATGTATTCACCATTCTGTCTCTCTATGCCCTTCCAGCAACCCAAGATGGAGACCACACTGTCCAGGTGTCTGTAGTCTCCAATGGACAGACGTATCCTTCGCTAGACTTCACCTACGCAGCAGACAGGACGCCTGTTGTCGACGGCATCTCCCCGTCCCAGGGCACCAGTGGTGACACGGTCACCATCACTGGATCTAGGTTCACCAGCGGCTCAACGAGAAGGAGAAGAAATTCATCTTACGGTGTTTCCGTCACTGTCGGTGCTGTCCCTTGTCCGCTGAGCTCTGTTTCAAGCACAGCACTCACCTGTACCCTTGGGGACATGGTGGCAGGCAGCTATCCTGTGAGTGTGAATGTGGCAGGGATGGGGCTCGCAGTTTCATCTACCACGTTCATGTCTCAGATGTCGTTGGAGAGTGTAGATCCACCTACAGGTACCAACATTATTCATTCACGCACTCACTAAAGTCATCATATTAACAAGCATCTTGCTTGATTGTTCTTGACTCTTTCCCTCCCTTCCTCTCCCAATTCTTTATAGCTTGAAGGTCTTAAGTTCATGCATCCTCTCACATCCTCAATAACTTTTTGGAATAGATCTAGAAATTCAGGAATCTTTCAAATGATTGTCCACCACTGAATGCTACTAACAGTAACATAAACTTCGTTTTAAACTGCAAGACAGTTGTAATTCCTACATGCAAAAAAAAACAATATATATGTTGCAAGACATACAAGGGATACTGGATACATATTTGCATATCAATCAATAGTTGCAGTCCCCCTCCTGCAGTCTCTTAGTGTCATTGACGGAAGGTAGTGGATGCTACCTGAAACGTCTGACCGTTTCCAAAATCATATCCAGTTGCTTGAGTAACTGTTCTTTTGGCGATGCTGGATACAGTAAAGATCTAAGCTATGCTGTTTTGGTCCAGCTTGGTTCTCTAAGAGTACTGTCAGGTTAATGTGTCTTACAACTTCCTCTTTTTGTTACAGGAAGCTTTGGAGGAGGCCTGACCCTTACTCTGGGTGGCAGTGGTTTCTCTGCCAGCACTGTTGCTACAGTGTGTGGCGTGTCCTGCCCAGTCACCAATACTGAGCCCTTGGAGCTAGAGTGTACACTACCAGCATATAACGGTTAGTGTCGCTGTGAAAACGTCATTATGAAACTCCATATCCCTTATTTGATGTTTTGGAAGAGAATCTCGAAAAACGTCTTTAAAATATTTGACATTAGGTGCTACAAACACAAGCTTAACAAGGCTGGATGTCATTGCAGAATTAAACATGATACATGTGTAGTACATAGTAATGATAACAAACACCCCCTTCCATGTAAGGAAATCCCACTTCTGACACCATGTTGTTATCTTCCTAATCTTGCATTGGAGTAAACTTAAAATCATGGGTTCGAAGTACTTATTATACTCAATGGATATGAGTTGTCTCCGCATTCCCTCGTATGTCAGCCTTCAGTGGAATGACATAAGGTGTAGTGGGCCTGACCACCCCCATTTCTCACTTGGTAGCTCCCAGAATAAACTCCCATGATTCCTTGCTGCGCATGCGCACTGGTCAGTCTTTATTTTTTGAGCCTCTGGCAACACACCCCCGGTGTTTTTCTCTTGGTAAAATGGGCTCGAAGCGCGAGGACAGACGACGCAAGAGTTCAAGAGCTCCCGAAGAGCGGGAGGAGCGCGCGCGCTCCTCCTCGAGGCACGCCAGCCGCAAGAGGACGGCGTCCAGAACCGAGCACATGGCGCCCCCCTCCCCACCTGGGGGCGGCCATGATAGTTCTTCACAACATTCACAGCCGCCCAAGTTGCGGCCTGTTACGGCCCCGGGCGACGACGTGGACTCCACGGCGGGCGGAATCGAGTCTGAAGAACTTCATGAGGGAGAGAAAGGCACACGTGTCGACTCTCAACTCGAGAAGAAGAGCGAGGAAGAAGTCTTTTGGAGACTCAAGAGAAGAATGGTGACAGCAGTGCCGTACGTATATCTGCCTTAGAGCAGAATTTCTCTTTGCTTTCAGATAAGCTGGACGGACTTCAAGAACTGCTGGTCAACCAACTGACGTCTTCAGAACCCTCGAGGAAGCGGCGAGCTTCGACTGGCGGGGGACCGGTTGCAGAGAAGCGGCAGCGCTTCACAGCTCAGCCGGAAGAAGGGGAGGGGGCGGCAGCACCTTTCCCGACGACAGCGCGTCATCCGACGATGGCGGCGATGACTTCAGCGCCCTAGAGCCGTTTGACCCGACAGCCAACAAGGCCAAGGAGCCCTGGGAGGCCGATGATATTGTCATTCGGTTCTCCGAGAAGTACTTCAAGCACGAGAACCAGTGCAGGGGAGAGGCTCTAGAGAGCTGGCAGAAGATGCATGACTGGCCAGACAACAAGCCGGACGTCATGGTGGCACCGGTCCTGAACGATTTCTTGTCCCGTGCTGTCATCGAAAACGACAAAAAGCAGGGTGAGGTGATCGTTTCTCACGATAAAGCATTGAAAGGGGTACAATCTAATCTTGTACAAGTGGCTTGCCCTTTAATGAATCTTTGGCAACTCATTCAACGTTGTGACAAGGATAGTTTTGAAGAGTTTCAAGTGACAATGAATGATTGTGCTAGTTCAGCCATGGCACTTCTGGGATCAGTGAATTCACAGTTGTCATTCACCCGACGTTCCTTTGTGTCCGAGTCTTCTCAGAAGAAGTTCAGAGACATCTTCAAGAAGCCTTCAGATGATCCCCAGTACCTGTTTCCACCAGATCTGGGCTCTAAGGCTAAAGAGATGGCTTCAGAGGACAAGGCCGTCTCCGGGCTGCTGCAGAAGGAGGGGTCGACCAACAAGGCTTCAGGGTCATCCCAGAACTTCCGTCGAGGCGGCGGTGCCGGTTCAGGCGGTAACAGGGGAAGGAACACACGTTACTTTCCCAGAACCAACTACAGCTATGCAGGCAGCAGCTACCAGTCACGTCCATCTTACTACAACTCATCCCGGTCCTTTCGCTCCAAGCCGGCGGGGGACGGGAAGCGACAACAGAAGAAGTAAGCACCCCATCTACTACAGAGAGCGGGGCCCGGCGTTCGACCGAACTGCAAAGTGTACCTCATCCGTCTCCGCTGCCTCATGCCGGCAGGTTAGCCCACTTCCTTCATCAGTGGCAGCAGGTGACTACGGATCCATGGATCCTTCAATGTGTACAGGGGTACAAGTTGGAGTTTGCGACAACGCCGCCAATTCAGGGACGTCTTCCACTGTCCCGACCGAGAGACGACGCACAAGCGGCAGTCATAGACGAGGAGGTAAGAACCTTACTCACCAAGGGAGCAGTTACAGAAGTTCCCTACCATCACACACAGTTTGTTTCAACTTTGTTCACAGTACCCAAGAAGACAGGGGGTCTTCGACCGGTCATCAATTTGAAACCCTTAAACAAGTTTCTTCACAAGCAACGCTTCAAGATGGAGAGTCTTCGCCTCATCAAACATCTAGTGCGGCCAGGGGATTACATGGCCAAACTAGACCTGACAGACGCATACTTTACCATCCCAGTTCACAAAGACGATCGCAAGTATCTGACGTTTCACTGGAGAGGAAGATTCTACCAGTTTCAGTGCCTACCCTTCGGCATCGCCACCGCACCTCGTGTCTTCACCAAAGTGATGAAGGTACCCATCGCACTTCTGCGTCGGCGAGGGTTTCGTCTGGTAGTGTATCTGGACGATATTCTAGTGATCGCTCACTCAAGAGAGATGTGTCGGAAGGTGCTTCAAGCAGCCATCGATCTGATCTCCAGTATGGGATTCGTGCCCAACTTATCCAAGTCGGTACTGGAACCGACTCAGCGTATCACCTTCCTCGGCTCAGGCATCGATTCAACACTGATGGTGATGTACCTTCCCGAGGACAAGGTGTCAGCTCTACAGCAGATGGCGGACACACTTCTGTCAACAGATTGCCCGGTGTCAGCAAGAGATCTTGCAGGGATCATCGGGAAGCTACAAGCCACAGCACCGTCGGTCTGGCACGCTCCACTTCACTTCCGGAATCTTCAGCGTCTGCTTATCAGAGCTCTGCGAACGTCAAGAGGTCACTGGGAAGGTCAAGTCTCTTTGACAGCAGCCGCCCGCACGGATCTGGTCTGGTGGAGAGACCAGTTGGCCAACGCGAACAGCCGACCGATTCTCGCTCCCTCAGCGGACTTGGAGGTGGAATCGGATGCGTCAGGTACAGGTTGGGGCGGCTTCTGCAATGGCGTCCACACCGGAGGCCGTTGGACAGAGAGAGAGAGCAGAGCTCACATCAACGTCCTAGAACTTCAGGCAGCGTCGATGACAGTACGCGCCTTCTGCAAGGACATCGAGAATGGTCACGTGAGAGTTCACTCGGACAACTCTACTGTGGTGGCATACCTGAACAGGCTGGGCGGCACACGGTCGCTCGCTCTACTGAACGCCACGCTGGATCTTTGGCAGTGGTGCGCCGACAGGAACCTGTCTCTATCAGCGAAACACATCGCAGGCAGGGAGAACATTCGAGCAGATTTTTGCTCTCGACATTTTTCCGTAGCAACGGAGTGGTCTCTGGAACGGAATACGTTCCTGAGCCTTCAGGCAACGTTTCCACTACTCAGTCAGGGGGTGGATCTGTTCGCCAGCAGAACCAACCGACAACTGGAGCAGTACGTGTCGTGGCATCCAGAAGCGGAAGCCATGGGAACAGACGCCTTCACACTACGGTGGAACGAGTGGGAACTAGCGTACGCATTTCCCCCCTTCAAGCTGATCCCGCCAACACTGCAGAAAGTGCGGGAGGACAGAGCTCAGCTAATCCTGATAGCACCAGTGTGGGACACTGCGGTATGGTATCCCGTTCTACTAGAAATGGTGGTGGAAGAACCAGTCCTCCTACCCCAGCACGAGCATCTCCTGATCCAGGTAGAGTCCGGGCTGCCGCACCCAGAGGGCAGCAAACTGCAACTAGCCGCATGGCATGTTTGCGGAGACAACATGCGGTGTACGGCTTTTCGACAAAGGTTAGCCGAATTCTACTGGCATCATGGAGGGCAGGAACACAGCGTCAATATTCCTCGGCCTGGGACAAGTGGAGTAGCTGGTGCCGTAGACGGGATCTTGATCCCGTTTGTGCTCCTCTGAGTCAAGTGTTAGAGTTCCTGTTATCTCAACACGAGAGAGGGCTCCAGTACCGCACAGTGAACGTGTACAGATCAGCCATCTCGTCCACACATCTTCCCCTGGAAGGTCGTCCGCTAGGAGAACATCCTTTGATGCGCAGGTTTATGAAAGGTCTGTTTTGAATTGCGACCTCCTTTACCCAAGTATTCGTTCACTTGGGATGTCAGGCAAGTGTTGGACTTCTTGCGCCGCTGGTCCCCGGCCAACTCCTTATCTCTTCGTCAGCTAACACTGAAGCTGGCTATGTTAGTGGCACTGGTATCAGCAGGAAGGGAGCAGACACTTTCGTTCCTGGACGTAAAGCTGAAACGAAGAATTCCAGAAGGAGTTTGTTTCCGAGTAGAGAAGCTGACAAAGACTTCTCGTCCGGGCAGTGTGATTCAGGAGATCATTGTGCCCAAGTTTGAAGAGGACCGTAGATTGTGCCCAGTTCGATATTTGAAAGTGTATTTATCAAGAACTCGGAGTTTTAGGTTATGTGATAGTTTTTTGTTTCGTGCCCTGGTGGAACCGCACCAGGCAGTTACGTCAGCAACTATAGCTAGATGGCTGAAGAGCGTCTTAAAGGAAGCAGGAATAGACACACGTCAATTCACAGGACACTCGACACGCAGTGCGTCTACTTCAGCAGCCCAACTGCAGGGAGTATCTACCAAAGACATCATGAGAACAGCCAATTGGTCGTCTTGCAGTACGTGGGAGAGATTCTACAAGAAGCCTGTGGTGAGCAACAGCTTTGGGCGAAGTCTCCTGGCCTCAGGCTACAAAGGCACCTTATGTCATTCCACTGAAGGCTGACATACGAGGGAATGCGGAGACAAATGAGAATTGTACGAACTGACCTGTCAGTGATGGACAGGTTCAGTTGTCTCCGCATCCCTCTAGGTCAGCCTCCCTCCCTGTCAGATCATCCTAGAAGTCTGGTGGATGAAGCCCTCCCGAGTACACTTCGGCCAGGAGCCTCTACAAACAGAAGACTGACCAGTGCGCATGCGCAGCAAGGAATCATGGGAGTTTATTCTGGGAGCTACCAAGTGAGAAATGGGGGTGGTCAGGCCCACTACACCTTATGTCATTCCACTGAAGGCTGACCTAGAGGGATGCGGAGACAACTGAACCTGTCCGTCACTGACAGGTCAGTTCGTACAATTCTCATTTATATGGCAGAAATTTTTAATTGTTTACATTGGCTTTTATATATGATTTCATGTAACTACACATCTTTTCGTTTATGTATACTTTGGATACTTGCGTTCACTTGGCTCACAACCCTTTGTTTATTTATGTTAAATTTTGTTTTAAGTTTAGTTTCTTTGGTATGTTGATGATTTGATTGTTTCTGTAGTCTGGGCCCCATTGAAAATCAATTTGACAAAATTGAATGGGCCACCCAGCTGTCTGAAGATTTAGTGAATACATGTAAATAAATATTAAATAAACTGTTTCCTTCAATCTACATTTGCTGAGTAGGGTCTACAAAGACACATCTGCACTTTGTTGATGATGTTGAATACATTGTTAAGATGATAACCACTGTCGTTGATTCCAGGTGCTTCATCAGGTCAGGTTGCCTGCGATGTTGAAGTTGAGGACAATGGCGTCACCGAGTCACTGCCTGCTGCGTTCACCTACGACAGCGCCATGACCCCTGTGATTGACTCAGTCTCCCCCAGCCTGGGTGGCACGGCAGGAGGAACTACCCTCACCATCAGTGGCAGTAACCTGGGGTAACCATCTTCAGATGTGTGCTCATGTGGCAGAGTTTCCTATGTACAAGAGCAAGTTCAGCGCTTTGTAAACATTTTTCAACTAAGCCGTCATCAGCACCTTCTTTAATCATAGGTGGATTTGTAGAAGAAGGCGATACAAGTTAGAGTATTCAAAAGTTGTCCTGATTTTGAAGTGCTGAAGTATAAGAATTGTCATTTGAGATGAAATTTACATTTTTAGTGTAAAAATAGATAATGGTGTTCACTATAGCTAGTGCTTAATTTTGTTTAGGTACAGGTACAAATCTCCTATTTTGAACATGTACATTGAACTTAATCTACTAAACATACTTAGTCTATTAGACAAGGTATCCTTCTATATCTTGTCATTGCCAGTGGAAGAATGAATTCACTTTGGCTTGAGATTAAGTTGTAACAATTGTTTTCTTTTAATTTTGCACTCTGTCAGAGATGTGTCCAGTGTGACCATTGAAGGGAGTGACTGTGACATCACAGCTGCCAGTGCCTCAGAGCTGACCTGTGTGACAGGAGCCCACCAGGGCAGTGTGCAGGGCAAGGTCACAGCAGTGAGCCTGTATGGAATTGCCCAACAGGTACAGAAAAATGCATTCAATATTTTGATGGTCGTTATATTTTATTTGTGGTATAAGGGAAAAGAAGGAGGTTCACACTTCTGTACTGCTATGTAACTTGAATACACATTTGCTGTGTAGCGAGGATACCACAAACACCTCAAAAATAAATTTTTAAAGTAATGCAAACATTTGATAACTTACAGTATTACAGCCTAGTGAACATTTCACAAGTTATATAATTACAGACCAGCGAACATTTCACAATATAATTATTACAGCCCAGCGAACATTTCACAGTATAATTACAGACCAGCGAACATTTCACAATTAATATAGTTACAGACCAGTGAACATTTCACATTTAATATAATTACAGACCAGCGAATATTTCACAATTAATATAGTTACAGACCAGTGAACGTTTCACATTTAATATACATGTAATTACAGACCAGCGAACATTTCACAATTTACAGAATTGCAGCTCATTGTCCAGAGCAAATGTTTCCCAAAATATCATATTTGATATGTTGAAACCAAACTGTTAGAAATTTATTAATTTCTATACAAATGAGGAGACAGATTCATGTTTAGACCTTAGTTCCTCCGGGCAGCAATCTTCCACTTCTTTTTGTCAGCAAATTCTGCAGATGATCTTCACTATCATGATACAACTGACAGAAAGCAAGTATCCTCTGCATCCAAAAGACTACAATCATGAAGCAATAATCTCAACTCCCCTCCTAAGGCATTGCCCGCAAGCCTTTAAACTCTATATATGTAAGAAAGCTATTTTTCAGACTTGTGTCTACTTTACTTTGTAGGACAATGCAGACTTTTATTACGCGGACAGGTGGTCGTCACGGTTCACCTGGGGCGGGGAGGACTTACCTGGGGACGGAGACTTTGTCATCGTGGAGCAGCCACAGACTCTACTGCTGGACACTGAGACAGCAATCCTGAGCATGCTGCTTATCGATGGTGAGAAAAGGTCCCATTTGTTTGTTTGAAATCCATTAAAAGAAATGTATCTCTGTCATTTTGGCTATTGTGTCATAAATAACTCACCGTGCTTATCCAGAAATAAGGACATAATATTAAGACATAAATTATGCTTGTAGTTCCCATTTTGTGAAAAAATATTAATCAAAGACTTAATGCATATTTATATAGTGATTGCAACCTTGCAATAAATATCTCTATGAGTATACAATCAGTATAATTGTATACATTTTATGTAGGTCACAGTCAAATTCAGACTCTGTACGAGCTGTCTGCCCTAGGTGCCATCCATTTTGTAAGGGGAAAACAAGGAGCCCCATTACAAAACAGATGGTACACAAGCTGTCATCACCACCATCATGCTAAATCTGATCTAATGTCACAAAAATTCTCTTAAGGCGGCTCTCTGATCTTCTACGATGAGATGGATGTGCACCTACAAGCTGAGAAGATCCTGATTGTGAACGGAGGGACCCTCCAGGCCGGTACCCACGACGATCCATTCCAACACCAGGCCACGATCACCCTGCACGGACACCTGCGCAGCAAGGAGCTGCCCATCTATGGCACCAAGAATATAGGACTGAGAGGAGGGGTATTGGATCTTCACGGTACGGTGCTATACTTCCAAGATGCCCTTTTTCATAAGGCTTTTTTAGTCTCTGTAATCCGTAGGCAGCCTCCCCAAAAATCGACGTAATTAGTATTAGCCGCATAGCATAAACTTTAAGTCGTAATCAGCTCTGAGAATTTGACGTAATTTGTAATTGGGGACGAAAATTTTGCATAATTCGTAATCACATTCAACCTCCCCATGTAGGCCGTCATGTAAACTATGTATTACAGTGTATACCTCATATTTCACCTCATCCGGGCATTTACCTTTAATAAATGCAGTATTGGCAATAGTAGGATGACGTGATGTGAGATCCAGAATGCTTTGCGAATAAGCTCTGTAAACCTGCATCACGTAGCGATTTGCATACTTTTAGGAAATACTCAAGGTAAATACCCACTCATAAGCTTTTATATGGGGTATAAATTTTAAGGATTATCCTTCATGGTAAGTACAATTTGTCTAATCTCCAATTATGCTAACCTTATACATACAGAAATCTTGGATTTTTTTTTAATTAATAATATCCGATCTGAAGATATTTCAGCATCCAACAAATTAAATTGGAGTGACCTAAGATGTAGAAATTTGTTTTTGAATCCAACTTTGATGTGACTAACATTTCATGAATGTTGGACACAAGAGTTTTCTTTTCAGAGCCAAATTATCTATCTTGCTGCCATTTCGATGTCTATCAGACACCTTCCTCAGAGTTTCTGACTCAAGATCTGCTTCTCGTTACTATAGTATATGTAGCCGATAAGGTGGTTCTTTTGTGGTGAGAACGCAATCCCAATCGTGGCTGAATTTGTATCCTATACTTAACTTTACCAACCTGCTGAAGCTATTTTCGGATTCTTAAAATGTTTTTTGTTTCAGGCATGCCGGTTGATCCCACCTGGACCCTGTTAGCTCAGACGGCAACTGCTGGATCAAACAGCCTCGTTTTGGAAGAAGCCGTGTCAGGGTGGAATCCCGGGGACAGTGTCGTCATAGCAACCACCGGGCACCGCCACTCGCAGGGTGAGACGGAAGTGAGGGAGATCCAGTCTGTCAGCGAGGACGGACACACTGTCACACTCACAGGTGAGTCTTATTTATTTATTCATTTATTTATTCATTCATTTAGCTATTTGTTTTATTTATGATTTATTCATTCATTCAAAATTGTGCTATCACTGATGAAAGCTATGACCTTTTTCCGATTTTCAGAGAGTCTAGAGTATGAACACTTGGGTGTGGTTGAAACGGTCGACGGTTTGTCCTTGAGCTTCCAGGCAGAGGTTGGTCTTCTCAGCAGAACTGTCAGAGTGCAAGGCTCATCAGCTACTGTAGGCTGGGACAGGGAAATCGAAGCCTGCCCAGAGGGCTTTGACACTGGTAGGCTGTGGACATTTAGCACAAGACTTTTGAATAAATCTTCATTCATCTTAAGTTAATTCATTCATTCATTTGACGGAAGATGTAGGTAAAGCTATCATTTTTCTTGTCTTTTCTTCCCTGCTGTTGTGCAGGTGAGTTTGTCACACAGACCTGTTTCGAGGGCCGTTTTGGAGATGAAGTAGGCAGCGATCAGTTTGGTGCCCATGTCATGGTCCATGGGGAAGACGTCACTTTCCGTATCGAGAACACCGAGGTAACTGATACACATCTTATTCAAAATCTTTTCTATCTTTTAGTTTAGTGCATAATTATGAAGAAAGCACAACCAAAGGTTTAAAAACAAGACAGTTACATGTACATGTAGTTTAAATTTTGTGGAAACTGAAAATTCATTAACTGCAATGTGTCTGGGCCAGCCTATTGTATAGGCAGGATTTTTAGAATAATTTCGATCAAACTTTCAATCATGTACCACTATATCTGATACTAATTGAAAGGGGCTCTTTCCCTGATTTGGATGTATTTGGAGGACTCTGAGATAATATAAGATTATATTAAAAATTAAAAGATTGTTACAACGACTATTGACAATCATGGACTTTCATTTTTCTTCCCTGCTTTCTTGCAGCTAACCAACATGGGACAAGCCTTCCGTTTGGGCCGCTATGCCGTCCACTCCCATCTGAATGGTGACATGAGTGGCTCCTATGTGCGTGGCAATGCCATCCATCGTAGCTTCAACAGGGCCATAGTCATGCATGCTACAAACTACCTGCAGGTGGAGGACAATGTGATCTATGACATCATGGGCGGAGCTGTCTTCCTGGAGGATGGCGTTGAGATAGGAAATGTCATTCAAGTATGTGTCACTCTCTTTTCTTTCAGAGTAAAAAGAAACAAGCTGTAGAAAAGTTATTTTTTGTAAAGAAACAGCATTTGGCTCACTTTTGGTAATGCCTTACAAATAGTACGTATATATTCAATTTTTGCCATTTTATCTTGAACTGTGTCTTTGAACTTCATTCATAGAACAGTTTTTAATCACGGCTAGACCCATCTGCAGCAACTATGATCCTTCGTCAGAATTGTTTCTCTTTTAAATTAGTACACAGAATCACGTGTATTCTAATCATTATTTAAAAAAACCTTCAGGTGGTTTTACATTGTAAGTTATATCCTAATATGCCAAATAAGTTATATCCTAATATGCTTCTATTAGCTTGCACTGTGCACTGAAGCTTGGAACTTATTAAATACCTTTTTTTTTTCTTCCAGGGCAATTTTGCATGCTTTGTCAAGTCCAGTACCAGTCTCTTGAATGATGACATCATGCCAGCTAACTTCTGGGCGATCAATCCCAACAACACTCTCAGTGTGAGTGGTGTCTAACTGTTTGTGTCTAAGTGATGTTTTACACCCTGTATTATGTTTTGTTTCCTGGGCCTCCTTGGAAGTCAGCTCACGATGCTGTAGGAGCTAGCCAGGTGTCTCTAAGAATAAATTTTTCATAAATGATAAATTGTAGTTTTAATAAATAAACATGACAGGTGAAAAAGCTATCTTCTGAAATGGAATGGTAGACATTACAGATAATATTCAGTTTTAAAATTGAGGAATGGCCACTAGATCTGTATGATTCCAAGGCACATGTAACCATAACAATTACTCTTGCACCTGTTAATAGGGAATTGATTGGCATTTGTAATGACTATTTGCCTGAAATATACAGGTACAAAGTGATTGGCTCTTAGTTGTACAGTTGTCTTAACTGTATCGTTAGAGGGATCAAAAAGGAATTCAGCAGGTCCAAACCACGATCCATATTCAATATTCCATGTGATTGATATTGTTACTTAAGTGCAAAAAATGTATTCTATGACACCCCTGGACAAATTACATCATAGAATAATTATTACACACCTATAACTAACTGTATTACAAAAAGTCATGTATTTCGTCCACAAACACAGTCTTGAAACCATCGCAAATAAAAACAAGACTTTTGTACCTGATGTAATGAAATGATGTTGATTCAATCTGTTATGTTACAGTACAACCATGCGGCAGGTGGAACCCACTTTGGTTTCTGGTATGACCCACCCGAACATCCCCACGGTCCGTCACGGACCGTCGACTCCAGCCCGCAAAATGCCCCTCTCGGAGAGTTCCGAGGCAATGTCGTCCACTCGCAGGGGTGGTTTGGGCTGTGGATCTTTGAGGAGTACCACCCGAACGAGCCTGCCATCTTCCGTGACTTCACCGTCTATAGGTCTGAATATTCACCTTATTTACATGTACACTTTCAGTGGCACAGTAATTTTACCATATATTTAGACATTCTTCGATATATTTACCTATCTGTACACAGTAAGGGTTATTACCTTCTAGAATGAAATAGCATGAAATGTAACAACTTCCATTGAGCAAGCAGAGAGAAGGTTGAACAGCTTTGTGCATTTAACATCGTATACTATCGACGATCCATTGATAGTAAAATGTTGTTCATCTTCAAACCTATTATTCTGATTTTACAAATCATACTTAGTGAGGATGATTGTGTTTTTCTCCCCACAGATGTGAGAAAGGTGCAGAAGCGGTGAACGTCGGGGCTATCACCTTCGACAACTTCAAGATGTACGACAACGATAAGGCCGGCATAGAGTGGAAGAGATCCTTTGTGGATAGTTGGGGCCTTACAGGAGTTACAAACTCAGACATCGTTGCACACACTGCACTGGCTGGCGACGACGATGGCACTGCTGGTAAGTATGATCATCATGATACATCAAAAGATTTATAGTTGCTAAAGAAATAAGCTTGATTTTTTATGACATGTTTCTTGGTCAGGACAAGGACCTCTCCAAAACTTTACACAGACACACAGTGCACAATAAATATATACTTAATATAGTTTCCATTTCTTGTTGCAGGTGGTGTTATTCTCCCATTCGGTCCAGGCTTCAGTGTTGATGGTACAAAGTTTTACAACTTTGACAGAGATGGCAGCACCTGTATAAAACCAACCAGGATTGATGGTACCTGTAACGCGTATTGCTCTGGTTTTGGAGCCAAGTAAGTGCCCATGAAGCTCTCTTACACTACTCTAAACAAGCAGAGGGTTTGCCTCCACTTGCTGGATTATGTTTTTGGTCGACGTAAATTGTTCCACGTGCCACCCTCCCCACATGCATTCACCACAGAACTGAAGATGCTTACAGCTTTTGACATTAAAACATCTCGAATTAGAAATTATTTTTTGCCTCTTCAAGGAGACCACCAGTGTCTAAGGTGTCCACCTTTCTTTGGTTCCCGCCTTGGACAGGTTTGACTGTACATAAAAGAATATTAATGAACAGTCACAGATTTTAAAAGTGCATCTTTACAACAAATTCTCATCAGAACTGTTTTTTTTTAGATTTTCAGGCATTGAATACTTTAACTCACCAAACAAGGGCGAGTTCGAATTTGAGCATGAGTCCTTTTTCATGGATGTGGACGGGACTCTAACAGGTACTAACCCAGGCGCCTACGCGGTACCATCATCTGACATCCTGCCACCCGGCTGCTCTGAGAGTGCAGAATTCAGCCTAGGAGATTTCCCTGGAAGCGTCTGCACAGATTCCAACTACAAGTTAGTAGTCATTACATTTACCTATAGAAAACAATATAATGTACCTATAGAGTACATGTAATTGTTTTTGCTCAGTTCCTCCTCCAAACAGTGACCTCTGACCTGGTCAATGACCTGAATCAGACTGTCTCTCACCATGGTAACTAGTGAGTTACATCATGTTGCAATTTTATAGTGGGAGGGATTTAGACTCCTGTCACCATACATGTATATGTGAAATGTGTTTGAGTAAGAATTAACAGAGCAGATCATATGCAAAGGTGTTACTTGTCTTGAGTTTTCAGTTATGTCTTGATATAATTCTGCTTTCTTTAACTAGAACACCCTGTAGCCCTCTCAGTCAGCCTTTGGAAAGATCCATTACAAATTATGCTATGCCTGAAAGGGTTGAAATAATTGATACATTGTAACTAGCATGTTATTCATGGTGTCAGGTAACTAGTGTTATATACTAATAAGTCTGCTTTTAGCTAAGAATGTTTTAACAATTATAATGAACTTTCATTCATCCATTCATTCATTTATTCATTCATTTTTCTAGGCTGTGAAAAGATTTAATTTCATACTTACTTGTAACTTTTTTTATTTTTAAGAGAATTTCCTGTTACATTCAGTCCCTAGCTAATGTTGGACAAAACATTTCTTGCTTTTAGATTGAAACGTTTCGCCTTCAACAAGGCCCTCCCCAGTTCCCTTCTGAACAGGAACACTTGGTTTGAGAACGAGTTTGGCAGAGCTCATTCTACCTGGCAAATCAAGAGAATGACCCACAAAGAAGGGTGGATGTTTGACCTGGTGGAAGGGGAAAACTACAAATTTAGTTTTGAAGACTCAGAGCATATCACCAACATGAGCTACACAGGGACGTTCTACGACATGGAGGTGAGGATGACTGTCTTTCTTTTCTTTGATCTTTAGGCCACACCAATTTAATTTCTTGGTTCTTGGATTTTTTCAGAAAAAATATGAAGCGACAGGGCGAAAAAAAATAGAAATAAAAACAGGTCTAGGCATCCTATTATAGGCTTAAATGCTACAAAATGAGCCATGAAGTCAACACAAAAGGCTGGGTTAAAATTTAAACATTGAATTTTGAACTTTTAATCAAACCACTGCAATGATAGATGGGAAAACTGTAACAACTAGGAAGAAAAGGACTTTCCTCAACTGTTGGGGGGCAAAACATGAGCATTTTTCAATTGATTCAGGGCCAGATTTTTTGCAAATCAGAAAAAAATGAAGAGGCGAATCCGAGAACCAACAAATTAAATTGGTGTGGCCTTATAATTGAGATTGCAGCAAGACAATGCAACACAGGCACCCACATGACATGGACCATGAGCAAGGAATGTCCGAGCTGTAATCAGAGCATTAAATGTAATTAACATAGCTAAAAAGTTAAATGCCAAAATATTAGACAATTGAGTGGCTAGAGCACCTTATTGTTACAGAGGTCAGGACTCAGCTTGTTCTAGATAGTGATCAGCTGTGGTATATAGGACGAGCTGAAGGCCGATGTCCTAATTTGGAGTAAGCATCTGCAACCTACAGTTTCTAGAAGGTCTTGATGGATTAAATAAGGTGCGGGAAACATACTTGAGAACCATTGGTATTGTCTTAACAAACACAATTAAGTCATAGATCTCGCGCCTGTAGGTAAGAGGAAACAGACCTAAGGTTGAGAGACGTTCCTTGTAGGTCAGATTTTTTGCTTGGGCTCCTAAAATAAATTAAGTAGCCCACTGTTGAACACCCTCCACAAGGGACACAAGTTTGATTTTTGATCTCTTCACTCTCTGACAGAAAATGTCCTCCTTGTTTTTATTTCTTCAAAATAAATAGGATGGCGACTATTTCATCATCCGACATGAACTGTACCAGGCGCCGGACCGCTTCTCTGTAATCGAGGGTGATGACAGAGATGGGTTGGACAGCCCAATTGACCCTGATGCCCACTCACATGGAGACTGGCACTTCGATGAGTCCACAAATGTCTTCTCATATCTAGGTGTGTAATACTATACTTTCCGAATCTAAAGTGATCATTCCATAATGATATCATGAAAATTCATCTGTGTTGGTAGTTACATGTGAACATTTTTTCTAACATTGATATTCATTTTTATTGTACTATTTTTTTCTTGCAGTCAAGGGAGATGGCAATGGTGTGGACAGGGACATCCATCTCAGGGTGTATCGCTGTGCGTTCGAGGACTGCATCGCACCCCTTGATCCAGCAGAGGCTCCGCCTTCAGAGAACAGACCTGATGACTACGTCGTCTACGGATCCTCAGTCGTGGAGTGGTATGAAGAAGACGGCTACCTGGTTCCGGGTTTGTCTTCTTCCCCTGACAGGAAACGGAGCGCACTGGTGCCTACGGCTGGAGACAGTCTCAGGATTGATAACAGTTAGTCAATTTGTTACATTATGTAACGTTATAGATAATCAACAATATTAAGTTGATTAAAGGAAAACCATACATAAGCACTTGTCATGATCACCTTTAGTAAGTAACATTTAGCAGATGCTTGGTCTGTTGTTGTTTTCTTACAGACATTACCATTTATCTGTTTTATACATGTCAATAATTATACATCATCATGTAGCTATGATGTTTTAGATGATTTTTTATATTCTAAAATTGATGATCCCATTCCAGACGGAGGAAAAAGGGCACATTTATAATTACAATGAATCATAATCCGTTTTTATTTAGTTCCCTGGTTGGTACTTGGTGACAATGATCTCCCTCGCCTTGATAAGCTCCATATCGTGACTGTTCTGGAACTGTGGGACCCCCTCCACCCCTACACTCGGGACTACACCATAGAGGCTACAGTTATCTTCATACAGGTCTGCCTGCAAGTTTACATAAAAATGAGCACCCTTTTCTTATGGATTATACACTCTACAATGATAAGAGCCTATTGCTGTTCACTTTTCTTTCTGCGTCTTCAACTGATCTCAATCATATTAAAGACAAACTTAGGTACATGTTAGAGAATAGTTAAACCTTTATTGTCACCACTGACAATGTGACATATATTCTGCATGCAATTTGCCGCGTGCATATACGTAGGATGATGTTATCCATAGGTATGCATGTATTTAGCTTTGTTCAATCTTTAGTTATAGAAGACCAATAACAAAAGTCTCTGTACTTTTTTGTTGTGTCAATAAAGAATCGCTAAACATAATATCAGATACAGACCTACAATGTAGGTATGTGTACAAAGAACTTGTACCTGTACCAGTCCTGAAAAGGAATTTCAAAGAAACTGATCTAAGACTTGATCCAGTTTTTGCACAATGAAAAGCTATGGTCCTTCCACATACATTTTGTAATTGTGGCAGAGAAGACAGGCGCTTTTATGTAATTACTAAACAAGGGTTAATTGTAATGGGGAAATTCCCCATAATAATATATATAGTTTTTTTTGGTTAGAACTATGTCATTGAACAGTGGACCATAAAGGTTGAATGACAAATGCTAGGTTTTTTTTAGACATTATCATGATTTATGATGTAATTTTTCTGTACTTCATTTCTAAGGGAGGACGACTGGTGTGTGGCTGGCCAGAAGAGAATTACTTGGGCAATGTTCTCTTTAATCTTCTCGGAGACCACAGAACCCCTGACATGCCTCTTCCCAGTGGCCCCAATGTAGGAGCAAAGGCAATTGGTAAGTACATAGCATCATGAAAAGTAGTGTTCGAGTTGTTTCGTGTTGGTCCAGGAACCAAGAGGTGATGGGTTCGAACTCAGTGCACAGCCAGGCATTAAAACATTAAATTTTTATAACTGTTTCTGTTCAGGTGATTTTGGAGGTCTGGACCTGTTTGGAGACCCAAAGACAAGCTGGACTAGCCTGGCCCAGACTGCTAACGCTGGTGACACCACCCTCACACTGCAAGACCCCGTGAACTGGGTGGCAGGCGACGAAATTGTCGTCAGTCCGTAAGTGAATTAGATCTTTTTACCTCCATCTATAGAGTAATTGTTTTGTGTGCGTTTGTGTGTTTGTGTGTTTGTTTGTTTGTTTGTTTGTTTGTTTGTTTGTTTGTGTTCGTAGCATACACCTGGTATTTAAATGCAGTAGAGTGACAGGAATGGCAGATAGGATTTGGTTATTTAGCAGCTGATTCTATTTATCTTTCTTTACAATACATTTTGAATGTGAGAAAATGTCTCTCTTGCAGCACTGGGTTCAATGCCTGGGAAACCGAAACATTCACAATCGCTGATGTCTCTGACGACATGATGACTTTGACCCTTGATGCACCTCTTCAGCACAGACACATTTGTGAGTATACCCCAAAATAATTACTTCTTGAAGACTTAGTGTTGCATTTTCCCCTATCCAAGTTTTGGCACAGGCAAGCTTTTGGCAGGGTGGCATCAGGAGCCAACTGCTCCTAATATCCTAAGAATTGGGATCTAATTATCTTGACCTTACATATTATTTATTTAAAGCTTGAATTCATCCTCATTCCATCCTCTGCTTTTTAAGCTCGGAAACTGTGAAGCTCAGAAGTGTTGCAACTTTTTTTTGAATTTGGAGAACTGTTGGAGTCAATATGTAAGCTACACTGGAAAAGAAATATAAGTGAAGGTTTTGATTCCTTATTTTTTCTGTAGACGACCAGGGAACCTACGGTGGAAAGACCTACACTTTTGCAGCTGAGGTGGGGTCTATGACTAGGAACATCAAGATTGCGGGTGCTGCCTACGACGACCAAGAAGAAGAGTCCTTTGGTGCCAGGCTGCTTGTGGGCTCTTTCAACACTGGAGGGCAAACCTACACAGGTACAGCCTTGTATGTCATATAATATATACCTGGGCAGCGAGAATGTTCTGTACAGGTGTTCCGGCCCCCGTGATATCTAGCAGTAGGGCCCAGCAGGATTCTATTTTGTTATCACATGGGCTTCCAAATGTTCCATAGAATAATTCGAAGTTCAACGCGTTTCACACGCACACGCGTTTCATGTCGCTTCATATATTTTTTCTTTAAAAATCCGAGAAACAACAAATTAGATTGGTGTGGCCTTAGTAACAGTTATTTTTTGTCTGATATTAAGTATTCAAGTTTTGTCCCACTTTGGTATGTTTGGCCATGAAATGTTTATCACTGACATAAATTTTGTAACTGGCGATCGGTGCGAGGAAATGTTCAACACAATGAAATCACCAGAAATACATTGTACAATGTATGTCATTATATCATGTTGTTTTTAGGCTATGCCCGAATAAGCAACGTCGAGTTTGTGCGCTCTGGTCAGGAGGGATGGACCGATTCGTACGATCCACGCTACTCCGTGGCATTTATGGACCTCGGAGATATTGAGAGTGATCGACCATCCTTCATCGACAACAGTGTCATTCACGATGCATATGCTCCTGGTATCGGCATCTATGGGACAAACAATCTCAATGTGTCCAACAATGTCATCCACCACTCTGTTGGACAAGGTGTGTACACTTGAAGAGTTTATTTCAATGATTTTTGCGCAAAAAAATTATTTTCTATATACATGTACATGTACATATTTCACATTTACTGAAGATCCAGCAATTTAAAAAAATCATTACAAGATATTTTTGTTGTTTTTTTAATCCACATGAATTTTTCCACATCTGAGAGTAAGATTGTCAAATAGATAATATTTATGGCCAAAAGCAGTCAATATTAAAAAGGATATGAGACAAGACAATCAAAGATCTTACATGATAACAGTTAACTTCTGTTGGCAATTAATACGTGCTCAGTCAGCACGTTGGCAGAGCATACTGCGCCTGCATCAAAGCCTGATTTTTCAGTTTTCTTCAGATGTGGTCAAGCTTAAGGCTACATTCAGTTGTTGCAGACAATATCTTTTCCGACATACATGTACTACAGATGGGACGTTACATGATGTAACCTTAAATGCACAAGTACCACCTTATATGAGATGCTATGCACAGTACATTACGGGTTTCGCGCAGATGCAGTACGTTCTGCTGACGTGCTTGCAGTCCCACTTTTGTGAAGAGCATGAAAGCAATGCTCCTTCGCAGAACTCTATCCGAACTGAGACCGAGAAAATATTTCTTCCCTCCCCCCAGCTTATAATCATAATAAGTCTTTCTATCAGTAATACTGTTGTGTGTCCCCAAAAATCATAAACATTACCATGATAGTGATCATGACAGTAATATGCATTTTAATAAATAGTAACGTTCCATCTTGGCAGGTATCATTGCGGAGGGAGTGGGGAATGCCCTGACAGACAACTTGGTGGTTCTGTCCATCTTCCCTGGGACGTACCAAGACCGTTTCGAGGCCTCCAGTGACAAGTGGCAGGGAGCTGTGGAGGTCCAGGGTGCTACCAGTGTCGTGCTTGAGGTATATAAATTATGACAGTCACTGTACTTGTACTAGAGCTGTGTACCAAAATACCTAATCCCCCAGTACCGATACAATACAGTACCTAAATAAATTCACACTAATAAAGTGCCTAATATATATTTGTGACCTAAAATGTGTAAATATACATGTAGCTGGTCCCCCATGGGTCCCAAAGTAAGGATAGACTAGTGTAAGTGTCTTTGTGTTACAGACTGACAGTGTTGACTACCCTGAAAGATTTGTTGCATATTAGTTAATATGCTCCCTTTAGATGTCACTTTGGTTTGTGTTGTAGGATAACTGAAACATTTCAGTTTCGCCTATGTTTTGTACAAGAATTCTCCATGGAGAAAAACTTAAACTATCAAGTTTATTCATGCTTCTGTTAATCTGTTGAATTATTCAGGTACAGTTTCAGGCCTGGACCTAAACCTGTATACCTGTACCTAAAATTTGTTTGGGTACACAGCTCTACTTGTACCTAATATATGCCTATCAACTGTCTCTTTTTATGATTCATTTTCACCAAAAATATACTCTGCAGAAAAGGATATGTTAGATGTTTGCATCTACATTTATTGTATATTGCAGACCGATTCGTATAGCTCTTTTTTTGCTGCTCTATACATACTTTAAGATCTGGCCCTGTTTTGGTCTCCCCTTCACTAATGGACTGAATGATTTACAACTTATGAGTGGGAAGACCACCTAATTCTTTAGTTTCATCCTGGATTATGTTTTCAGCATCTTTCTATTAGTAGATATTATTACTTATCTTCTTTTGACAGAAAGGGTTATGATTTATGAACAATAAATTATAGTTATTGAACCATAATTTTAATAACCATAATAATTTTAGCGCAACCACATTGCTGGAGCAGAGCGGATTGGACTCCACGCGGATGGGGAACCATGTGACGATGACAGCTGGGGGTGGGAAGGAAATCAGGTCCACACAGGTAAGCACTAGTTGGCACGACAATTCATCTGTAGGAAGCAAGATTAAACTGTAATTTCCAACACAAGGTCTAGTAATTGGATTCTGTGAATAGTTTCATCAGGTTGGTAAGAGACTCTTTTTGCACATTGTCAACCAAGTCGTCTTATTCAGTCGTTTTGGTGACTATCTGTCACCTTCCTCAGGGCATTTCTGACTGGTTCGCATTGCACTGCAGCACAGATGGCACTGCTAAATGTACAAAACTTTTTGAACCTCCTTGGTTTCTTCTTGGTCTTCTTCTCCAAACAAATAAGATCAATGACCTGAAGCAGACGTCTGTCACCATGGTAACTAGTGTTGGGTTACATCATGTAGCAATTTTATAGCAGGAGGGATTTAGACTATGTGACCATATAATAATATATGTGTTTGAGCAGAGCATTATGCAAACTTAAGGTAAATATAATGCATTTTCTTGAGTTTGCAAATGTTTACCTTTTAGTTAGTTTTTACGTTCTGTGTAGCATTTTCCTTTATCTTCCAGGACCTGGTCTAACATATGACATGTCATTTTTATAGCTCTGCATGGTATCCATCTGTATGAGGATGGACAAAGTGACTGTACCAGGATTCGTAACTTCGAGGTCTTCAAGTGCTACGCCTACGGCCTGCACTACCAATCTCAATCCAGTGTGGTTGTGGAGAACACCGCTTTCGTAGATAACCGCTTGGGCTCATTCATGTCAGTCGTAGGACCTCCATCTCTGGATCATGCGGTTTGTCAACCTTTTCTGTTGAATGTCCATTTACAATGATTGTCATCATTTTACACTAAGTTGAAAAACCAAATTTTACATGTGCCTACACAAGTTTGGTGCAATGGCAAAGCTGTACCCAAATAAGCTGAAAAATTCAAGGGATAAACTTTGAACAATTATGGCAGACATTTTGGCTATTTTTTAACAACTGTCCTGGTGCTGAACCCATGAGTGTTGATTGTCATATTAATAAAACAAATGATGTAACAGTTATCGTAAAATAATTTTGTAAAGGGTGATGATGTGCAGTTGTATGATTCAATGTCATTGACAAATACATTGTATAATTATCAATAGAAATATGAAAACAAGTTTCTGAAATTTTTGTATTGAATCATGATACTAACCATTGACTGGCTCCTGTGATGCTTTTAGAGGGTGGCCAAGTCTGCTACTGTCAGAAACTCCTTGTACGTTGGACGTAGTGCATCGTTCGACTGTGACACAGACGTCATGGACAGGTCTGATGACAACCTCAAGATTGCAGCAAAGTGGGGAGGTTTGGGCTTCACTAGTAACAAGGGCAGCAGTGGTGGTTTTATTGGGTTTGCCTTTGCTGGCGGCATGAGTGGCTGGAGTGGCTCTCCACTCCATCCATGGTGGAGCCAGATGTCCTACCCTACTCTAGATTTCGACACCAGGATAAGTGGTAAGTATTGTGTATTCATACTACATGTATTTTACACAGTCCTCGAAAGTCTTTTCTGAGAAGAGGTACACTGGTGTATGATGAAATAAGTAGAATGTCAGCACGGACACCGGATAGTGAGTGCGTGAGGGTGTTCTGAAGAACACAACAATAATTTTATCATTTTTCTGATATAGATGTATATGCTGTATAATACTAATAGATACATTTAACACCTTTACATAGTACTAGACAAGTATATACGTAAACTTAAGAAAATATTTGGGTGCAGTCGGTCACCCACAGAAAAAAATTGGGTGCACAGCTCCAAAGTTGGGTGCACTAAGGTGCATTATGCACCCGGTATTTCGAGCCCTGTTACAGTTAATAACAGTTACAATATATATTTTAGACTTTATTTGCAAAGTTATGCCGGAAGGCTGATTGCTTTAATTTACAGTCAAGGTATTCTGTACTAAATGAACACACATATATTATGTATCTCGATGTATTGAGGTTTTACTTTCTTGTGTGCCTGTAGTTACTTGAATACAGTATACTAAAAGTTGAGACAGCCTAAGCCAAAGAGGTGTGAAGATTAGAACTTACAATCTTTGACCACTGAAATTTAAAAAACAATTATCAATGAAATTAAAGGTTACCCAAGAAAAGTACACGTACCTTTTACCTTGAATAATAGAAAATGTTAGAAGATAAAGGTCTATAAGATGTTTGTTTCTTACAGATACGACCTTTGCTAATTACGATGATGCATGTGGCAAAGAAGATGTTGCAATGCATACCTGGACAGCGAATGAGGATGCATTTTTCCCAGTTACTACTGAGAATCTTTCTTTTGACAACACTCCCTTGGAACACAGGGTTTTCTTTGACAGACCTAGTGTTAGGTAGGTATCAGACACATTATACAATAATTATATCTTCGTTGGTGTGAAGTTGAACTGATACGCCCTAAACATGAATGAAACGTATTGAAACCATGTGATAAATTCTACATCTCTTGTATTTTATCTCGTCCATAGAATCATTATATTTCATATATTGTTAATACATGTACCAGGAACCCTTTGCTTCATGCTGTTAAAGTACATTGTATAATTATATGAGATTACCAGATTATATATTAACCTATTAGTAAAGGTAAAAGATCTGGTGAAAGAAGTAAGACTAACTAAATAAAGGTTGTCTGATATTCAGAAAATACAGTGTAACAAGCTTAAGATACAAAAGAAGAAAAATTCAGAAGAAAAAGTTCAAAACGAACACGTTCTGAATACCTGAGTGACTTTTTGATTACAGGTTAGTTAACCCCTCTGACTGTGTGGACATGTCCTGCGATGGCAAGGTGCAGGGATTCATACTAGACCTAGACGGGACGTTGCTCGGAGCTTCGGGAGCGATCACTACACAGGCAGACTGGGAGTGGGACGGGGACGCCAGGTACGGTAGGGGAGACTACCGAATCCCCAACACCATGCTGTCTGACCTATCTGGGGACAGGATCGAACCCAATACCCTTGCACCTGAAGGACGAGGTATGGACAAAGATTAATGATTTCTATCATTCATTCAGTATGTTCAAATCCAACTGTGTCATACCGAAGACCTGAAAGCTGGTACTGTTTCCTGTGCTTACCACACAGCACTTCAGAGTACTACGTAGTTCCTGGTAGACAAACACCACTACCAGTGGGCTAGCTATGTATATCGTCTGTATTGCTTGCACAAGTGTATTGCCCAAGGGCTTAAGTAATGGAAATTATTCATTGTATTAAATCTTTTTCCCTTGCTATTCACTCAAAGATGTGGGAGTTTATTACATGGAATGACATTCAAGTGGACTGTTTTTGCTTCCCAGATCGAAGTGATGAGCTCAATCTTGAATCTCTTTCTTTGTTTGATGTGCACACTCAGGTATCGTCCGGAACAACAGGTGTGTGAAAAACGATGAAATGCATGCCTACTTGTGCCCGGACATGGATTACAGAATGCTGACATTGGAGAGCATGGATGCAGACACCGAGACCCGGCGTCTGTCTCCTGTCGCCCTGCTTTCTAATGGATATGTTGACCTGATCAATGGACCCCAGGTTAGCATTTTGTACATACTAGATAAATATAATGTAATATCATAACAGATGGTGTTAGGCCACACCGACTTAATTCTACATGTATGGATGACATCCTCCAAAGACCGTCCAAAAATTCCGTCCAAAGATAGAAATGCTACTAAACCACAAATAAATACAAATACGAATACAAATCTGGTGTTATGAATTAATGGCAGTACACATGTACTTAGAGATGTATAGGACAAGCCTTCACATGCTGGCTTTTTGCGGAATTTATGAATCGGCACTGTACGTATGTACTGAGCTGTTGAGTCGTGCAGCTTCTGAAGCCTGGGTGCCATCCTCCTGAGTTACCATCGGCTACGTATTGCTAGCTACGATGGACTACCCAGGCCTACAGCTAGGCCACGGAGGACGTGATCTTTTTTTTTTTTGGAGAACAGGCAAAAATCAATGCGTGCACGGATGTCATCCATAAAATCAAGTCGGTATGGCCTTATCTGTTAAAGAATCATGACCATTGTATTTATTTTAACAGACATCAGGAAACAAATCTACGCTGCATCAAACAAACGATAGGAATTCAAATTAAAGACACAGAAAAACCATCATCATGATGATAATATCATTCATTGCCAGAATACTGTTAAGTCAACAGAACTGAACTGTGACTATCATTTATGCAAATAATTGAATCATACGGTCACATAGCCTGATTAAATTGCTTTACTGTTGCTGGCCACCCAACATCCAGCCGCCCCTGGGAAGGGGCCACTACAGCCGCGGACGGCAGAGTTTGCGTTACACAGACTAACGGTCACATAGTGTGAGCAAACATTACCAAGTTGAATGAGTTCATTAGAGTTATGAAGCATTAGGCACCTGGCATGTCTGTTATCAGGAAACTTTGTTTACTTTCTTGCGCTACTGATGCCACATGATAACACTGAATGTTTTCCACCTCTCAGGACCATGGCTGGTGTGCGGGCTACACCTGCAGTCTACGTATCTCCACCTTCCAGGCTGTGGTGGTACCCGGCGAAGACTATCTCGTACACTACACCGGTGTCTCCCCCCGAGAATCCCGATACTTCATGCCGGATGCTGAAGAAGACGACACTCTGCTTCTAGGACTCTTTTTCTCCAACCCCGAGCGGCTCGACGTCTACGCCGATGGCGTCTTTGTGGAGCCAAAGAACAGCGTAGGTGATGGGTCGGGCTCCGTGCGGCCTGGGCTGCACTACCCAACACACCAGGATGAGGCTGGGGCCAACTTCATGAACATTGAAGAGCAGACGCTGTATTTCCTCATAAAAGGTTCGTCGCCAATCGACATCACAACCTCCGACGTGCTCACCATCGCCTTCGGGCTCCCGCCAATCACCGTGGAGGACTTCTTCGGAGAAAGACTAGCTGAGAACCTTGCCTTGTTCCTGGACATTCCGCCTGGAAAAATCCGCCGAGTGAATGTCGTGAGGGAAGACGAACTATTAGTGCGTCGCCGGCGTGCAGCCGCAGGCGTCACTGTGTCGCTGCAGATCGGAGACGAGCCAAGCGCAACCCTCAACGGCACCGTCCCGAACAGTCTGTCATACGAGCAGCTGAAACAACTGGAGGCTACCCTCATTGATGCCCTTCAAACAGGCGAGTAGTGCATGTATCTGTCACTGCAGTAAAAGATAGGAAATTGGTATGATTTAAACGGTTTTAGTTTTACCAACTTTTGGGCCAAAGTGGTTTTATGCTCAATACTATCTACAGTTACTGTCAGTACATAAAAAATATGTTAGCCAACAGATATTTCATGCTTGTTGTTTATAGCTTTGATAATATGATCATTATTAGCAAATAGAATATTATGTCATGTAGTAAGTTGGTATGTTATGAATTTTGTACACTCAGTACATGTATGTTAATCGACATTTATTTTCCATCACTAGGAGCACTCTCGAGTATCCTCGGAGTAAACGTGACAAGTGCGTCCATCAATGGACCAGTTCCGCCGGTGGGCAGCGAGGAGTGGTCGCAGCTGACCGTGGAGCCTGCCGTCGCGGTGATGTACGGCACTCCAGCGTCACTCCGCGTGGCCCTGGAGCCCCAACCACTGCACGAAGGCGCAGGCTTCTCCGTACAGCCGAAGATCCAGGCACTGGATGCTGAGGTATACATTTTTGCACAAAAACTGAAACAGTGTCCTTTGAGCATGTGAAAAAAGATGATTGAGTAGAGAATAGGCACACTGGGCTCTATCCATTATATTATCAGTTACTAAATGTGACTTGTACTAGCCTAAAGTTACATGTGTCAACTTGTAGTTAGTTTATCTAGATTCTGGTTTTAAGATTATGATGTACATGACATTGAACAGAATGACAACCAAGAGTTTCAAAGTGCATGTACTGCACAAATGTAACTGCATGTACTGCACAAATTGAAACACTTTGAATAAATTTAATTTAATCATTGTGTGCCATTTTCAGGGTAATGTCATCAGCCACCTTGGGTACTCTAACACCCCCTGGGAGGTCGAGGCAACACTGCAGCTGGGGTCTGGGTCTGACGCACGCGCTCTGCTGAAAGGCACCACCAGTGTTCCGTATGTCGACGGGTGGGCCAACTTCACCGACCTGCAGATCACTCACAGGTATGTTCACACTGCCTTGAAAGGCATCCAGTGCAGTTTTTAGGACTTCGAAAGCAGATTTTTTGAAGTCAATCTTCTACTCACTTATCTTCATACAAACAACACTGTTCCAATGTATGTCGACATTCATGCAAACATGCCACAACTGGTATCTTTTCCATGAGGTGAAAATCATAAAATGTAACAAGATCTGAGAATATTATGTTTCTGTATTTGTTTTTCTGTAGTGGCGAGGACTATACCATCCACTTTACAGTGAGCAGGTCCACCCAGGCTCCTCTGTTGGTGTTCTCTCAGCCTCTGACTGTGGCTACCAAGCCTGTGACAGGTACAAAATATACATGTATCTGCTTAGCAACACAAAGTTCATCTAGATTTTTTGAAAGATATGCGTAGCTGTAAGAACGTCAAGAAAAGAACACTCAGTTTGATGCCTTGGTGCACTCAGTTTTATGGAGTGAATACAGTCATAAGCTAGTAGGGTTTTTTTTACAATCATACAAACTAAGACAAACTAAAACAATATTTTCTTCAGGCCTTTATAATATTGATTAAGAAAAAAATTGATAACTTATCATTATGACATTATAAGGTTGTAATTAAAAGTCTGCATCTCATTTCAGTGGGCATGCTAAGCCAACCAGAGACAGCGACTGTTGACCAACCATTCAGCCTGCAGATGGAACTAAGGGACGCTGTGACTGGCCAGGCACTGCCTGACATCGCCTGGAAGGTACATTTACAATGAATCTGATCTAGAATCACATAATCATATCTGTATACTTTTATGTTTTATACCTTTCTGTGTATCAAATCATTCACTGTACATTGAATGTATTAAGAGCAGTTATACCGGCTATACTGAATCTACAGATTTACAGATTAGTATAAAATAAAATTGATTTATGTATCATGTAGTGATGCATACCGGTTCACTGGACTTGGATCCGGACTTGTAAGAATGTTTAGGTTCAAGTCCAAAAAAACCTAAAAGTCAAGAACCGAGTCCGGACTTATTACCATAAAAGACCATTTCACATACCCCTTTTCTTTCCAAACCACCTAAAGCCTTCCGTAGATTACAAAAGCTTTGCTGCAAAATGAAGAAAATGTTGCCATCGGGCATCGTCAAGTAGCGGCCTCCATGTTATGTGGCCAAAGTTTCACCCAGACAACATTGCAAGGTTGCCAACATGCAATTTTGTATATACCATGGGTTTAGGTCCGGACTTACAAGTCCGGAACTGAACCTAAACCTCTGGACTTGAATCCGGACCTGAACCTAAATGTTGGTTTAGGTATGCACCACTAGTATCATGTGTATTATGTGATTGTAAACCCTACATCAATTCAGCGCTATAAAAGGCTGTGATTGCACAGGTAATGTTTGACCAATAAACCATGTAAGGTACAGAATGATATGCCTGCCAAAAGAGCAACAATATGAAAGGTAACTGCTGCTAACATCATTATACCAGATATAACAATTAAATAAAAATGTTCCACACATTCAGGGGATGAACTGGGCCGTTACCGTCTCCTTGGCGAAACCGTTCCCTGACATGTACAACGGCAGCCTTTCTGGGGAGACCTCGGCCACCTTCAACCCCCTCACCGGCTACGCAACCTTTGTCAACCTCCAGCTGTCTCATGCCAGGTCAGTTAACTGTTCCCATGGCTCAGTAAAAGGTTGTTAATTACGTTTTTGATTTTACATTAATCATTTAACCTGTAATCGGTATTTGATACAATTCGTAAGAATTTGCCACATGATGCTGCCTAGCATCTGAAATGTCTACAGAATGACAGTTGTTTGATATAGTTTCCATGAAATTTTTGAATAATAAACATATTCCATAATGTAGAACTAACCGAGTGTATCCTTTTCATTCTTGTATGAGAACTGGTCTGAGAATAGCTATTATAATTACAATCACATCAATTTTGGTGAGGTGAGTAATGACCTGTTTTGTCTCCCCTTCCATCCCGTAAATGGAAAAAATTAATAGAGAAACAAAGAAATTAGACAACTTTCATGATATGTTCATATTGCATGTACTTTGAACAGCCGTTACCAGCTGGAGTTCCACGTCACCAACGACCAGAACATGGCAGAGTACGACTTCACCTACTCCCCGGAGCCCGTTGACGTGTTCCCGTCCGGCTACCAGCGTCCCGGGGGGGTGGAGAAGGCCGTGCAGATCAAGTTCGACGCAGACTTCTCCACGGTGCAGGAGCACGAGGCGCACTTCGAGATCTTTGTGATGAACGAACTGAATGCCAAGTACAGCGAAGTCTACATCTCTGCTGTGGACACTTCTGCAGGTAACGATTCCCCCAGTATCGAACAATTTGTTTTTCTCAGTTTTAATCCTCTTAATAAAAAGAACAAAACTTAAATATCTTCTATACTTGAACGAACTGAATGCCAAGTACAGCAAAGTCTACATCTCTGCTGTGGACGCTTCTGCAGGTAAAATTTCCCCCAATATCAAATAATAATTTTGTTTTCTCAATTTTAATCCTCTTAATAAAAAGAACAAAACTTAAATCTCTTCTATACTTGAACAAACCGAATGCCAAGTACAGCAAAGTCTACATCTCTGCTGTGGACGCTTCTGCAGTTAAAATTTCCCCCAATATCAAACAATTTGTTTTCTCAATTTTAATCTCTTAATAAAAGACAAAACTTTAATCTCTTCTATACTTCTTTAACCATAATACAGAATGAGAACCAAATGGATAGTCCATCTTCAACTGTAAAAGTGTTTTTAAAATAACCCAGAGGTCAGAAAGTACAAAACGATTGCATTGTGTTGGTCATAGTTTTAGATAAAAGCATTGTGCAACTTGTAGTTATATTTCCCTATCTAATGTAAAAACACAAAATTTAGCCTGTGGGCTGCCAGTTGTTCACTTGCAATAAACCAAACTATAAACCTCTGGGTCATGCATAGGACTGCCAGGCCATGCTTGTCATGCTTGCAATTAAGAGAAAACTATACGTTTTTTTGCTTAGTGATGTTACCAGCAATTTTTGTCTTTTCTTTAATAGTAGATTTAAAAAATAATCAACTTGAAAACACATTATACAATCATGGATTTCATGAATTACAATTGAATGAGTGTTGTTTCTGTGCCTACCACTGTAGGAAGTATCATTGTGGACTTCACCCTGACTGGTCCAGAGGAGGCGGTGGATGCTGCCCTCCTGAGTCTGTGGGAGGCGGTGAATCAACCAATGACTGTCACGTTTAATGGGAACACCATGGAAACCATCCCTATCATGTTCGTGAACAACGAACGTTACTACGGTACAGGCGTGGTAAGTGATCACTGACTCACTATCTCTCACTATCCAGTTTTAGCATCTGTTGTTCCCTATCTTTCGAGGATTAGATTTGCTTGCATACCAATGCTGAGGCTTGAGGGCAACCGTCATTTACCTCTACCCTGTGGGTTGACATTATCGACCACCTCTTCTTTAGTCTACCTTGTGGTTTTTGGCCTTCCACCTCCAGTCAGCCAATGAATATCATTATTCATGTAGCATCTTGCATGATTAGTAGCTGTGCAGCAGGGCAGAATATACCCCCAAGCTGGAACATACCCAGGTGTCCTCTGGCCAGGGGTACATTCTGACCCACTGTAATGGTGATCATGAGATTAGAGTCATAGAAAATAGAAATGTTCGTTAGCTAAATCTTTGCACCAGAGACAGGTGCTGTAACGTTTCTCGTTGTTTTACACAGGCAAGTGGCGATGACGTCGTCCTGATTGCTTGCATCGCCACCGTGTCGGCCTTTGCCGTCATTTTCATCACGCTGATCGCGATCTGGAGATGCAAGAAATCTGCTGCAGGTCAGTAGGAACTCGGTTATTGATATCGTGTGTTATGGGTACAGATGACAATGTTACATGTAGGTTCGTTATGTTTGTGGATTGCTGAAGCATAAACTAGTTACGACGACATTTACAATATGTCTTGGCAATTTCAAGCCTCATCCCATAAGAAGTACCACATAGTTTGCTGACGATGAACATTTTTAGAAGACATGTATAGGAAAAGAAAATAAATGTGTTGGTTACTAATCTTTGTGTCATGGTTTTGACAAGAAATTTCCTCCATGAGAAGCTGCTACATCCACTTTTAAAATATATTTTAAAGAGGTGGTAAATATATATAAATTCTGTAGGATATGTCTTCTCTAGTTTTATATCTTTCTTCATTTTTGGTAGGATCAGGAAAGACTGCATGGAGCAACTTCCGCCCCTCGTCAGCCATCTTCCGCCCAAGCTCTGCCACCAGCATCATCAAGGCAAGAATATCAAATTTCTACTTTCGGGTTTTTAAGAATGAAATCACTAAATGTACATGATTTGTTTGATGTTATTGCTCCACTAAAAGCTACTTGTACAGTCACCAAAATTGGCTGTCAAAAATGGTGTAATTTTGGCCCAACTTGTCTTCAATGAAATGCAGTTGAAAATGAGAAGTTGACTTTCAGACTTGGGTTGTCAGTAACTGTTGTGATTTGTTGGTAATAGGCGAGAGCTTAGCAGTCAAAGTACACTTTCATCTATTAGAAGGTTTGAATGCACAGTCATGCATGTACAGCTGTGCAGCTGGTTGTCTTACTATGATATGTCAAGAACAAATAGAATGCAATGATACAACTAGGATACATATTGTACATAATCATCATGCAATAAGACACATGTATTTGTCTTAAACAAACCCTTGTGTGAAACACCAGGTGAAGGAAGCCCACCTGAACCAGCCCCCGGTGGTCCTGCAGTCCTTCAACCCACTCAAGGACGCCGAGGAGAACTTCGGCAGGAAGAACTCCGGCTTCAGCCTGGAGGAGGAGACACGTCTGGACAAGGACATCGAGTCCCGCCCCGTCTCCCGGGCAACCCCCTCCCCCACCCCGCGGCCGACCTCTCCCCCCGGATACGTGTATGAGGAGGAGGAGGATGGTGAGTCTGAGATAGCATGTCGGGATCAGGCCAATGTTCTTGAAAATATTTCTTCAACAGATGCTTCAGTCTAATCTACTTTGTTTACTTACAAAAAGGCAACATTCAACTTAAGTACTTCTTGTATCTTCCCCTGTTGCTTTGAAGAAAGACTCATTTTCTAGCTCATACTTAGTCTAATATAGAGGGTATGAGAAAGTTGAACACTGACTTCATCATTAGAAAGTGCCATAAAAATTAGAATCTTAGAAGACTCATCTCTAACCCCTCTTCAGAAAACATTCCTATGCCGAGGAACATGAAGGTGAAGTTGCTGGACAAGACGTACCGCCGCATCAAGTTGGGCCGCACCTGGATCGACATGAAGAAGACCCTGGACCAGGTATGGTCTAACTTTTGTGCAAAAGTGTGCCTCTCTCTTTGGAAGAAGGGTCTGATCTCTTGCAAACATGTACCTACCAGTAGGTTCTACACACCATCTAAGAGTTTGTTTAATGCATTGAACATTCTAGACCAGGGCTCTAGCCAGCACCAGTTTTCCATCAATTACCGGAATGTTGCTGCATGTCACAGAATTTTTTTCCTTTCTAGTACATTCCACCGATACCTGCATTCATCCCCCTGTGGAATGAACATGCAATAAAGAAAGAAATAATAAGTTTAAATTAAACTAATCCGTCAACCCTGACAGACAAAATTAACAAAAATCTTGGGTAAAAATATGAAAACATCTGAAGGACCACCGGCAACCACTCTCAACACCATGACTTGCCTCTAAAACACCAAAACACAGGTCATAGACCTCACACAGCAGCCTTTGAAAGTTTAAATTTGTAAGATCACGCTACATGTTTGTGTCTCCATCTTCTAGGCTCGTGCAGAGCTGGTGACTGCGTTCCCTGCCCAGCTGGGAGGGAATGACTTCCGCTTCATGACGGCTAACCTGACCCACGTGGTGCAGGAGGTGGAGAGCGAGTTCCACCTGAAGGACATCATTGCCAGGGACTGTGACGTCATCGCCCTCCACATGGTGTAAGGTAGGTAAATGCATTTTCATTGGTTTGTCTCTTACTATTGTTGAGTTGTGGCTGGGAAATGCACGGTGTGCAATCCCTGAATCGGGTAAGGTTTGTTACAACATTCCAGGACCTGTATATCCTGCAAATTCTAATGTGACCAGTTCATCACTTGGATTGCTTGTTCTTCTTTATTACCATCATACCATTTTTCCTGTAGTACTTGGAAAGTGGCACAGCTAAAGATCTGACTATTCGTCAGACATACATGTAGCTACCAGTAATGTGTATTCTGTTATTTTCCTTGCAGATCTAACACCACAAGGACCAGACTGAGTCAAGACATGCTTGTTTGATTGATCAATTGATTGATTGATTGATTGACAAGCTGCACCCCATGTTTGCCGTGTGTTTGCTGTGTATTACATCATTAGGGAATGATTTTCTGGTGACACTTTTCACTCACTCAGATCATTTCAATGAGGAGACAAGCATAGTATATTTAGAATCAACTGATAATCGAAATTGAAATTTTTATGCAAAGCATCCAACATGATGTGTGGCCCTTTTTTCTAACTCCTGTAACTTCTCTTGAATACAAGTAGCTTGTCTTATATAAGCTGAACATTTTGATTGGTTTAACTTACACATGAAGTCAATGAATTTACTTTACCCGGTATTTACTACATGAACATTCTCATTGGTTACAGAATACAACAATGTTGCTTTCATGAACAATGTTATTGCTCTGTAGTTAAGCATGTAATTTCCATCAGAATTCTTCTTCAAACCTTTCCTTTGGGTTGAGAGATTTTTGTGTGTCCCCCCCCCCAAAAAAAAATATACTAGAACTGTGATTTCTCACCATTACTTCATATATGCCAAATTTCATCTACATTGTGAAAAGTTAGATTTATAAATGATTTCAAATTAGTTCATTACTGGACATATTCACAAAGCTGTGACAACAGTTGAGGATATGAAAAATTCAAAAATGTTTATACCCTCATTTGTATCAAGAAATACATTTTTCTAAAATATGGAAATTATAGTACATGGTGAGAAAGCACATTATAATTTAAGATATTGTGACCTTTTAACTTTACTTTAAGATTTTTGTTATTGACAAATGTCAAACAATTGACATGCATCAATGCATAAGCAAGCACAGTAGACCTGCTTGCATCCTGTAGTGTGTTAACAAACTAGACATGTGGAAACATCAGTGATAAAGGGCGAATGTACACCTTGTAGGAGAATGACAATGTTGAGACACGATCTACCCAACAGTTGAGACAGGAGGTAACACACTTTATGTCCATCCTAGGCACAGTGGATGCATGTTTGTTCTTTGTGTGTTGTGTGATGAAATAAAATGAAGAAAAATCCAAAAAGCTGTGTCTTATCCTTTTAATATTAGTGTACATGTTCTACATGTATGGTCTATGTACACGTTCTCAGTCAATATCATTTAATTTAATTGCACATTTTTTTTTGTAAACTTACATGTACATGTACAAGTACATAGGGAGAAACAGAGCTATGAATATGTTGCCATTTGAACGCCGTCCATATACAGGTGAACAGACTGGTCCTAGTGCTGAACGCCTTAAAGGGTACAGGCGGACATACATGTATCTGTGTCTGAACTCTCCTTTGTGTGAAACGCCATCGATGCAAAGGCGAACAGGCTGTACCAAGTGCAGTACACCCTAAGGGCATGCCAAATATATCAGTGTGAGAACTGTCCTTAGTGCTGAACTCCGTCTATACAGGTGAACGGACTGCCACTAGTGCTGAACGCCGTAAGGATCAGGCGAATATAACACGTACTGTCCTTAGTGCTGAACGCCATCCACGAAAAGGCGAACAGGGTGTCCCGATTTCTGAACGCTTTCAAAGGACCAGGCGAACACATCTGTCTAAACTGTCCCCAGCACTGAAGTCCTTCCATGTACTGTATTATGAGACCTGTCCCTGGTGCTGAACGCCATCAACACATTTAAAACATTCTTAACAACGCTTCAATCACAGAAACGGATCTGGTTTTCAGCATCAATTGATCGATAACGAACGGATTTGAACAAAACAACTTATAACACTTCCTCTTTTTTTCTCATTCTTTTTTTGCGGGTTGTATAAAAATAATACGCGTTTCAAGCCAGGAAAAAATACGACGTTTCACCAGTATAACCGAGCTAACCAAATTTGTATCACTTTAAAGACAATTGCAAGTTGTTAACAAAACTACTACTTGTCCCTAAATGGGTCACCACCAAAGGCCGGGACGAAGTCTTGTAGTACATTTCGAAGAAATTCATAGACCTGAAACAGAAGAATGGATGGATGAAATGAAGACCTTATTGTACATACATACGTAACATACCCCTTGGGTAAAGTACAGGTCACAAGAAAGGAATAGCTTATATTATGTACATGTATACATAGCGACGATATCATAGAAATGAAGCTTAACAGACACGGGTACGTGTACAGTACTTTACCTGTTGTGTCGTTTCGGCGTAAAATTTGACGTTGACTCCGATCACTTCCTTGCTGTTTTTGTCTGGGTTGATAGGAGTCGCTTTTACGTCAACGCCCTTCTGCTTGCCTGTGGTAGGAAATATGATATAATATCGGATTACTATGTAGATATTCCGCAAGAAAACAAACCGCTTGGAAAAGTTTGAAATTTACGCACGAAAACCAAAGAAGCGGCCCTGCCGTTCATAATATCGGATTACTATTTAGATATTCCGCAAGAGAGCAAACCTTTTGGAAAAGTTTGAAATTAAAGAAGCGGCCCTACCGTTCAAGTCTCCCTGCAGTATCCTTTGATAGACGCCAACCGTTGCTGGACCAATCAGAACGAAGGTCCCGATGACGTCATGACTTCCCATGATATTTTGTGTTTTGCTGGAAGGGCAGTTGCCCAAAGCTGTCGCGTTGTTGCACACAATTTTATCTCTGACATAGATGTTGGTAAACGAGCGATAGCTGAAAAGGAAAAGCGTCAGATTAACTCATGTCGATACATACATATAACTCTACTCTACTAAAAGCTTCAGGGAGCTTTGTACGTTCATGTCCCGATTAATTTTTAACTAATTCAAAATAAGTTTATACAATTTACATTTTTATGGAATAAAATGTCGTTGCCTCTCTTTAATTTCCTGCTATATGCATGTCTGTGTGTTGTGGAAAATTGTATACATAAAATCGGAGAAAAATTCACAATAATGAGTAAAGAAGAAATTCGTCAAAAAAAATCTCCTTTTTTCACGGAGGTATGAGATCTTCGTTTTCTATTTCTAGACTCTTTTTTCTCTCACCCTTTGAGCTCCCATCTCTCGCCCAGGGCAACTCTTCCTGCCGATAACCAGTCAACGGCAACCAGGCTGGCGTCGTCATGAAGATAAAACTCCTGAAACAAGGTCAGTTTGTTTATTTTACTTTTTTTAGGTGTTGGACAACATTAGGTATTAACTATTAATTAGGGCACATGAGTAACAAGGCCAGGTTCTTATTGATCCTCCTTGCTAAAGTCAACTATATCTTAGGCGCCCGCTGGGTTTTATTGCTCGCGTTCAAATAGACTTGAATGTAAAATATATGACATGTAATAACGCTTGTACTATGTACACAATCATTAGTTTCACGAAGGAGGGTGTGTATTTACCGACGTTATGTACGTGAACTGTTGGATACAGGAGGGCATGGTTGGCCTTTGTCATTTGGGAACCATCTGGGATTCATGATTGGCATTTTCTTCTTTTAATTTCAAATATCTGGACTATATGAAATGTTTTGCAGTCAAGTTTGTATATATCTAAGACCTGATGCTCATAATGTGCACTTTGGCCGTGCATGCTGATTGATAAATCAGCCTGTCCATCGGCCACTTCAGAGCAAAGTACATATATATATAACGGCACTCAGGCGAAATAGTTGGCAGGAAAACGACTTTTTGACCGTGCCCCTGCTGGCTAACCCCGTAGCTAATAGAGAGTTGGCAGCCAAAAGGCTTTTACTTCAGTGACAGTGTGCTAAAGGTCGATTAGATTCTGGGTTGACTCATACATACTTTGGAGGGTAAGTGCTTAACTGGCTGGCCCGTCTATAGGTACAACCTTATTTGTCATTTTTGTCACTTCTTACATTGAGTTGCACAGGTAAACGTTCTTTGGCTTGTGGCTTTTTTAAGTCCGAGACGTCTCACTACTTTACCTGCTGTTTCTGGAATGTTGCTCCGGTGTAGCAGACGACAGGATCTGGGAGGTACGCCAGCAGTGCACCCTCCTCTGCCGTACAGCGCACGGTCTGGCCGCTGCCCAGTCTGTCGCACTGCAGTGCCTAAGAAGGTCGATAGGAGTCAGACAGTTACACGCTTCAGTTTTGTAATTCCCCTTTAATCCTCTCCATAGACCCCATTAGACTCCTTTTGGAACGAATTGTGGTTAATAAGTCCCCTGGTGAGGCCGCGCCCACCGACTCAAGTGTAAAACAAAACTTTGTAAACATGCATGTGAATACGAAGTGGCTTTACCTACCCTTATAAACGACGGTGTGGTGACGATCACGGTGCACCCTCTCCCCGCGGTGACGTCCACCTCCATGTGCTGCCCGTCCGTCAGCCCCCCTCCCTGTGTGGACACGTACAGCCACTGGCTCAGAGGATTCGTACTGGCGTAGCGCGGCACCGACAGTCGGACCTGACAACGTAATGCAAGAAAAACGGGCAAAATTTACTCCCCAGTCAGATGCCTTATTTTTGGCGTGTTTTTAGTTGTTGTTTTTTGTCTGTTTTTCTTTTTTGCACTGGTATGTTTTTTGTTGGGTTGGCGTAAAAAAAAGATACCAGTGCATGAATGAACATGTATGTTGCCCAGAATTCTCAACTTGCAACCAGTGTACAGTACCTGACGGTGTACTTGTCACCAAACATTGTCAGTCACTCAGACCAAATCAAATATTTACGTGGTCTTCAATACCTAAACGCTTAAAGTAATAGAAGTGTCTACAAACGCGTTGTTAAAATTGTCTTATCACAGCTGAGATTGTTTTGTCTCATCAGAGATTGTTTTAAGCTATGGCGGTTTGTGCATGACCTTGGTTTCTGGGGACAGAAATATCCCCTCAAGCTATATACAGATCAGCGAGCCTCGTAAACAACAGGCGATGCCCCCTATTGTGACGGTACCTAACGTGCATGCAACTCCAAGCCGGGGAAATTCTGTGGGGCCAGGGGCCGGGAGTCTATATTAGCCGCATGGGACGGCCAATGGTTACAGAAGGCCAGTACAGACTCCCCTTGCCCCACGGAACCTGCTTGTAGATTAACCCCTTTTACAAGCTTGTGACTTGCGGCGACCCTGACCTACACTAACAGTCTGGGACTGTTTGCTCCTGGTGAATTATTATACATGTGTACATCTATATATAGTCGCATGAAACAGGCGACAGCCGAGTTATTGAGAATCAAGAAACAAAACTTATGACAACTGAATAGTTTTTTTATGCACAATGAATTTCGGTGTTCTCTACATGTACCAGGCACTTTGTGCAAACACACTACACATAAAAGACACAATGATAGCCTATACAATGTCCTTGTGAAAAACTCTGATATCACCGTAATGATGGAAGATTGAGTGTCCACCGTCAAAAAGACCAATTTCAATAAAGACTGTCTCTGTAGTGTTGTATAAGTTGGAGTTTAATCAATTTGTGACTTTCCAACGTGTCAAATATTTACCTATTACGAATATAACGAACACTATGAACATGCCCTACTGACCGCGCTATGAACTCACGTGACAAGAAAGTGAACTAGATCATGAGACTATTTGCTTGCCTGGGTTCCAGACCCCGGCCCTTGAAATCAAGAAAATCAACAAATTAAATAAGGCCACAGCAAGTAAATTTTATCGATGGCATCCTCCGCTGACTCCAGGTCAAATGCGACAGAGCGAAAAAAAAGGCGGATAATAAAAAAACAAGATTCCTACATTTTCAAATTTTGACATCATAAACCTTGTTAAACAAAAAATGATAAATATATTGTACTAAGTTTACTACCAACTATTGCAACATCCATTTCTCGCTGAAACAACGTAACTGTGAAAAATTTGATTCTGTTGGAACATCACGTATACACAGCCACCATCACATATAACCGGATCCGCGGAATTAAATACATTGATGCATCAAAGTTAAAGGCAAAACAGCAAATCAGAGCCTTGTCTTGTCTCCTCTCTTCATATCTATCTGAAATCCACGGCCCGGCATTACATTTTTGCCCATTTTCGGCATGTTGGCCACTGTCAGAGGGTAACAATTTTTTTTGTTTTTCCAAAATCAAGCAAAAATCAATTAATGTGCGAGGTTTATTTTGTGCCAGACCGACACGTTCAAAAGCAGACTTTCCAACAGCTTGATCGACCACATCGTAAAGTTAACCAAGCGTAAGGTATGCCGATACAACTTAACATTCCACACCACATTTAGTAGAGTCTCCTTTCTGATACAAGGTACATTGTAGCTACGATTACTTACAAGAGAAAAATGAACACATCAAGGAGGTTGCATACATTTGATCGTCAATTAAAAGCGAACTACATGTAGGTCAAAGGACAACGAACGAGTGAACTACGTGCACGTGTAGGTCAAAGGACAACGAACCGTCATACGGATGACTGCTTTCCGTCGATTTTGTTGTGTGAACAGTTGAATTAGACACACTGAAAACAATAATTCGGAGATCTCATACCTCCATGAAATATGTTTATGGAAATGTTTTGGGGGGATTTGTCTAATTGAATATGGAAATGAGGTCGTAATTAACGTAATCCAGTTAAGTTATGGTTTTCTAAACTAAAATTACAATATTTTGCGTGTGAAATCCTATGGCAATATTTCATTTCCTCAATAATTATATACACACATACAGACACACACAGAGACACACCATAAACGATACCTCCATTTTTTCATGCAGGTAACAAAACCTGCGTACACGGAGATGATAATGATAGGTAGAGTGTTCGCCGTCAAAAAGACCGATTTCTGTGAAGACTGTGTGTTTCCGTGTAGTGTTGTTCATAAAGTTGAAGTTTAGCTGCAGACAGACTTAACAACGTGCCAAATGTCTACATCTATTACGAAAATAATGAACACTATGAACGTGCCCTACTGACCGCGCGATGAACTCACTTGCCAAATACGTAAATGTTACGAGTACTAGAACCAGATCATGAGACAGTTTGCCTGTTTTTCTTCTTCTCTCCTCGCCTAAAAGAAACGAACGTACATGTAGCAGGTGTCATTCTACAGAGTCAACAACAAAGTAAACCTATGTTCCTTGATGTAGGATCCAAATAAAGTCAAAGTCACCTCCAAGCAGATCGGTTTTAGTGTTGGTGATTTATTCCTGTTTTGTGACATTCAGTCTCTTTCTGGTATGTCAGCTAGCTACAATTACTTACAACGGAGAAGGAGTGGGTATTATACATTTCATGGTCAAGTACATACAAGCGAACTAAATTTAGCCCACAAGACAAAGAGCCGTCATACCGGGTGACTGCTTTGAAGGATCGTGTTGCGAACGCCAACAAGCTCCCCGGCGGCGCCGCAGGTTGGGTGGAAGGCGGCCCGCCCGGTACCGACGACTGTGACCGGCGTTTCTCTATAAGGGGACGGTTCCACCAGGTCGTCTGCGTCTCTCAGCAGTTCTTCCAGGTCCATTCTGTGGGAAGATTCCGTGTAGAACTATTGCAATTTACACGTAAAAACAGCCCTCTAACAACCTACACACGCTGCCAGTAGTCTAGATTCCGCCCCAGACAAGCCCCAGGCACACCCCTTTTCTACGTAACGTTATAGATCCTTCCGCCCAGTGATTGCGTGATATGGCTAAGCAATACTCGAGTCAGTGATGTCTGTCCTGTTCTTTGCAGAGTATGGGATACGTCTTACCTGCTCTACTTTGACCAGAAATATCCGAAAGTGTACCAAACGTCTCACAGAGGACGAAATTGTCACATTTACGGGGGTACGCTCCGCGCAGGCTCTAGCACATTTGCCCTTTCCCCGGTTTTGGCGGTGGGCCAATTTTTGAACTTCGATACCGCCGACCTTTACAACCCTGCCTTTTTCCCAAACCAACCCAGTAATCTTGAACCTTGTACCTTAACCCTCCGAAAGTTGAAAAGGTACAAAATAAACTGAGCCTCCGTAAACCCTCTACACAGCCTCTGCATACCTTCTAGCCTCCCCCATGGGCTGTGTAGGTCGCGTGGCGGGGGCTGTGTTGGCCTAGTCTAGCCTCTACCAGCTGCAGGCACCGCGGATCGCTAGAAAAATAGTAGAAATTGGCCTAAATAAAGGGATAGTATACCAGGGGAGGTAGCCGGCTAGAGAGGATCCAATATGCGACCCATGGAATTGGAACCTCTCTAGCAGGCTAGCTTCCCTGGTATACTATCCCTTATTTAGGCCAATTTCTACTATTTTTCCAGCGATCCGCGGTGCCAGGTAGAGGCTAAGCCTAGTCGGCTAACTCCCCAGCCATATAACTTTCTTTTTATTATGTAATTCATACAAATTATTTTTGTTCAAAGGAAATATTCTATAGAACTCAATTCACTTTAAATCTATCGAAATTAGCATTATTATTTACATGTCATTTACATCTACCTAGTGATAGCAAAGGAAGTCATCAGAATCTTCTGTACCAAAAGCCAATTTTTTTCTACCTCACATAATGAAACACGTTTTTTTTATCCTTTCATATGTGGCCTTGTTACAACTAATGAGATTTACTAGGAAATACAGACCTTAATACTACAACCAAGGGCATTATATCGGAATTGATACAAATTAAGGTCTTCAACCGCCTTGCATGTATTAAGATGCATACTTTAAACTTTAAATAAATACACAACTACAAACAAAACCATAGCATGTCCACAGCACAAGATATCATACCGATGTACCCCGGTACAATACCTTACAAAACCGCTAGAGTACCCAAAGTTAATATTGACCTCCCTTTTCCCAACCTCATCCTACCTACCAAATATCATTAAGATACATGCTCCACAACCCAAGTTAGGCCACACCAAGTAAATTTTATGGATGACGTCCTCGCGCGCATTGATTTTGGCCTCTTCCTAGAAAAAAAAAACAAGAAATTTTGCTTCCTGTAACTATGACCAAAGAGTCACGACAGTGTCGCAAATCGTCAGATTGACATGAAACCCGCAACGCGAAGAAAGTGTCTATTGACAGGACCATCCTGTCAATAACAGAAAATTTTTCACTGTCCACTGATCCACCTGATTTATTGCTGTTTTGATGAAGAAGAAAAGACTTCTTGCTTGCTACACTGTGTCACCTCATTCATTTTGTGTCCTAACATTTGTCGTCTCTTAGTATATTTCTAATCTAGGCATCTTGTTTTTTAGGGCCCTTCTTGTTTTTTTTTCGCCCTCTCGCATTAGATTTAGGGTCTCCAAAGGACGTCATCCATAAAATTTACTTGGTGTGGCCTTATAACCGATTACAAAATCAGCAACCCCTATGTATGGTGTACCTATCAGTAAACACATAGCCTTCTGACGAAGGTAACAAGGTTCCAACCGTACAAGGTTACATCTCAATACACCAGCCTACACACACTGACAGGTACGAGTAATTCCGTTCACGGTTTAGCGGGCTGCTTGTAGGTAATAAAAGCTGAATATTGCATGACGTGCTCGGGGACGCCATGCGTGAACGGCCAAGGTAATTGCAAACGTGAGGAGCGTAGTGATGTTATATCCCTCCGCTAGGGAGTACGTCCCATTCATAAAATGCCTCCGCCGTAGCACTCCTTGATAATGAATGAATGAAAACCTTTATTGCACATTTTTGTCACACTTGGCCAAGTACAGCTCACAACAAAACAAGATGAACGGGTACAGTTAACAGATACAAAAGAAAGTAACTATCGTTATTCGTTATATAAATTCAACTTCTCCCTTTTCAGTTAGTGTAGAAATAAAAGAACAAATATGTTTAACCATAGATGGTTTGTCTGGTTGCATTAGGAATGATATCTTTAACAGAAGGCCGGCAGAACAGCTCAGCTACATGTACATTTATCTGTACATCGATCGTGACGTTGGTGTTTGTTTGTTTGTTTGTTTTTAGATGTGTTTGTGTCATTTAATGTGTCTGTATACTATGGGCCGTTGAGCCTGAAATAATCAATAAACAGCATAACAACTGTATGGCTAATTCTTATCGTCATGACCTGTGAGTGTACGGAGATTTTGTTGTCAGTGGTCTGTGTGTTAACTTTGCTTGTGTTTCATTAGCTATTTCCACTACTAGGGACGTCAGTATCACTGACAGGAAGTTATTTTCCATTTACTAGTTAATAAATCTACTATAGAAAACATTCATGAACTGTGCGTTGCTTTTTCAAGATGGATCCTTGCAATTAACTACCGGAAATGAATTTGCGATATGCTCATCTCTGAATGTATGTATGTCTTACAAAATGCATCAATCATGCTTCTGCGACAGACGCTAACATTTTAGAGCATACATCAAGGAGAAAATATGAACTACCCAACATAAGAGAAAATATGTAATACTTAGGGGTCCAGCAGACGAAATTTTATTATTATTAAGTTCGGTAGATCATAAAACCACTCCAGTGGGTTATTTCCTATAACCTCCTTGATAAAGAAGTCGAACCCAATAGTAGTTCAGCATATATTGTTATCCATTGTGCGTCCGTTTTATTTTCATGTAACGTGTACTTGTAATTAGCCTCCGGGAAAGAACTTGCAATTAACTTTCATCATCAAATGTATAAAACGTAAAACAAAGATGCTACTCGTATTTTCTAGTGGATATCAATGCGCGTTGTGATCCTGTTCACAGCTCACCGCTGTAACCCTCCGCCCCTCGGGGTATCTCAGTAAGTGCGTGTGACGTCACTCTTACTCCGCGCATATCTAGGTTTCCACAACCCTCCAGGAATACAGAACAGCATCGATGTAAAATATTCTACGTAAGCGGCTCATCCTTGAAAGGCTCTCCGGGAAGCTTGCTTAACGGTAGTTCCCGGTTTGAGCCGTGCGTGGAATGTTGCGCATTTCGGCTGCCATTTTGTAGCTTTGCTGCCATAGGAACCGTGCAACTCCGGGGGTTTGGTGATACTGCAGGTGCTTGGGTATAGACCGTGTGTTATGTCTCGGAGTTCGATCGTCTGATGCGCAGGAGAGCTACAGACGCCTAAAGGATAGCGGGATTTATTTCTAATTCTCACCGCGCAGCGCAGTCAACAAGGCTGTCCTTTTTAGGTCTATGCGATGGAATTGTTTGGACCAGGCGAATAACAGTAGCGGTGATAACTGAAGAGGTGCAGTGCGATCCTATGGAATGGTCCGTCGTTATTATGTATAATTACGGCAAGATCCGTGCCCGGATGAGGAAAACCACTGGATCTAACCCAGAGGACGTCACTGAAAATTTGGCGCGAGCTTCTGCTGAGAAGTAAATATCGATCACGGGAGGGTTTTTAACCGTGCAGTGTAGCACAGTTCGCAGTGATAACGGTTGAAAGAACGACACAATGGCGGTGTGTTCCTTGCTGACTCACACACTTGTGTTCATCGCCTCCAAGGAACTGTTCCTGACTCATGCAGCCTCGGCGGCGGATACACTTTGCCCGTCAGGGTGGCCCAAAAGGTACGCTAATTTGTGAAATGTTGTTGCGCCGTATGTAGAAATTACGATGTTTTGAAACGTGAAGACGTCATTCTGTTCACCCATTCAAACTACTTGTATAATGTTATTGGTGTAACATCAGATAAATATTCCAGATCGACTCCAACTGACGATTTTCTGATAAAATTGTATTGAGCGAGTGTAATTTCTTTATTGAATCCATATCCTACGGCGCCCACTTTGTCATAATCAGAGAACTTTGTCGAAAATGTCTGAATTTATCGAAGAGACGTTTGCATAATGTGACCTTCCGAAGGTCGTTGGGATGAAGTCGTAAATCTTGGTCTGAAGGAAATGTCGAGCTGTCCGGTGTGTTATGTTCCTGCTGCTGAATCAATACAAAGTGTTAACGTTATGCACTACCTGTTCTACGGAGCGGAAGGTTTTCCTGATAAGTTGCTAGGTACTCTCCAAGGAAACGGTTGGGTTTTGGCTTATTTCTGGCGTGTTTAGACATTTTTATCGGGCTCTTTTGCATTGCATTGGTATCGTTTTTTACGTGTATGGAAGTTTTGGTTATGGTTGTGCTTGTTTCTTTATTCGTTTGTTTGTTTGTTTGTTTGTTTGTTTTCTTGTGTGCCCGTAGCTGTTAGAATATAGCAGAGTCACAGAAGGCGAAGTGGGAAATGTCATAACCACAGACTGACGCGTATCAGGCTTGGAGGGTGAGGTCGAATTATAATACTATATAGAAAGAAGTGAAACAAATTATTTTGAACAAGTGGAAAACAATTAAGGGAAGAAGAGGATTTAAATGTTTATCACTAAGCAACGAAGAAGGGACAAAATAATGACGCAAGATAGATAAAATCAAATTTTCTGAAGATTCCGAAGCACCAATGCTCAAAACAAGCTTGAGGACTATATATGATCCAATAGAGGAGCAGAGGTTACGAAGTCTGCTTGGGAACATTCTCTCCTCCCATCTTGTTAGACCGGAATGGTTTTTACGTGATCCACTCACACCAGGATGGGCCCTACACGCATATACTACAACCGTACTTCAGACGTTCTCACGTATTGTCGTTACGGAGATTTAGAGGCGCATTTCGTTTCTTGGTAATGCTCACTACATCACCATCTTTCATGCCTAGCGACAGTTCTGATTACCGATACACTTAATCTTCCTGTATCAGTAAATCGCTTAGCGAATATTCCATTTCCTATATTGTGGGATTTGCAATCAAAAAGCAGTGAAAAATAGACAGTGCATGTGTATAATGCCATACGTTAAGTTATTATTTTTTACTCGTGCCTTAAGCTTGTACCAGTCTTACAGAACACATGGCGAAGTTAGTAGTCTGTGTAATCATCTTAAGGATTTTTTCAGGACATGTCAATTACATTCATTGATTACCGTTTTGCAGGATTTTCAGTAAAAACTCTTTCGCATATTGTACTTCTAATTTGTCTTTTTTATTCTATGTTGTAGGTGTGAGTGTTCGGAGTCCACAAGAAAAGTACGGTGTAACAAGGCGGGTCTAACAACAATCCCACAATCCATTCCGCCCTTCGCCACGTCGCTTACCATCACCGGAAATAGCATCCCCGTCATATCCGGTCCCATGAACTCCTCGTCGTTGCTGCATTTGAACTTGGCCAACAACAAAATCCAGGTTATCGAGAATTCATCTTTTGATCTCCTGCCGTTTTTACGACAGCTCAACTTGGACGGAAACCCGATCAAGGTACGTTTACATGTCACATGAGAACAGTTTGATATGTTTTCTATTTTTACTTGATATATTTAATATAAGGAGTTTTTGTTCCGGTGTATCCGTTTGTGTGTTTACTTGTATTTCCACATGCTAGGTACTAGTACGTCGGGGACACTGTCAGGAAGTTAGGTCAAAGATGAATTTCCCAGAAAAGGTTATCTCATTTCCTGTCTTCGAATTTCCTGCCGCATTCATGCCTGCAGCAAGTAATTTTTATGGATGACATCAGCGCGTGCATTACTTTTCGCCTGACTCCAAAACCAAAAAAAAAAACAACACAAGAAATTTTGTTGCCTTCTGACAGTGGACAACATGCCGAAAATGGGCAAAGATGTCTGTTGCCATGCCGGAAGGTGGATGGCAGATAACTATGAAGAGAAGACGCAAGAAAAGGCTCTGATTTAATGTTTTGTTTCTTACTTTGATGCAGTGATATGTAATGTAGGCTATGTGTATGTGATGTTCTCACTGAATTAAAACCATTTGTACAATAAAAAGAATTCATGCCTGTTGCCGTATGTGAGTCAGTGGGAAACGAAAAGGCAGTATCAGTGAGAACTTCACAATAATGATTAAAACAAGAAATTCACAAAAACTCTTCAATTTCTCGAAGGTATGGCATTCCGAGTTCTTTGAAGATCCTCTTCTCCGTACTTCAAGGTGTCGAAGCGTCTAATTCTAAGAACATGTATGAAAGATGAAAGTTATTTTCTATCTATCTCGATCCTTTTCTATTGAGTACGAAGTAAATGTACAACTTTATAGCTGATATCTGACATGTTGGGATATAATATTAGCTCACTGCAGGGTCATCATCCGTCCCTTAGTCTGGTTTAAACCGGTTTAAACTGCATTTAAGGATTGCCCCCCGATCGTTAAACACCTGTCCCTGGGCGCGGACCGATCGCGACTGTAATGCATCCATTTTGTGTCATTAACCGTGATTTGTGCCTGTGGGAAGGCGGAGGACGTGCCAACGGAATGACAAACGCAGAGAGAGTGAACCAGATTTCGAGCCGCCCGTAGTTAAAATCGCATCATCGCGTAAGACAAGTGTTCATTTAACGAGACGGCTTCGCCATCAAAGTTAAATGAATGGCTGTTGTGAGCAGATTGCTCTAAGTGTTCCAATCGTGTGGGCGACAATTTAGATGAACAATTACCCATTGTCCTAGATTCACGTGAACGTAATGACATCTGCATTTGCGTCATCCGGAAACAGTCGATAACGTTTTAGTAGGTGTACTTTTATTCCTTACTAAGCTGTTCAACAAACTTTTTATCAAACTTTTCTTCAAGCTCCTTTCTCCTTTGGGGTTAGGCTAGGTTTAGTCTCCTACATCACGACTAACCCCTCCCACCCCTGTCTCAGGTATACTGGAAGCCACCAATTGAAGTAGTGTCATGTATTTGGCAGGATCATGTATATGGCTTGACACACTGGGCGCCGCTCTGGCGCGGAGTACTGAATGGACGGGTTATTCTGACACAAGCCGTGAACCCGTAACACTGTCGGCAGGCATGGCTGACTCAAACCACACATTATCACTCCCAGGGTGTTCATCTTGCCAAGGGATATATATCATTTCTGTGACTCTTTTGCTTGTCTAACTTATGCTTCGAGATGATTAATTTCTTGAAGGTTTTACATAAATATTAGAATAGTTGCGTGAAAAGGATACTAGCGCTTTTCTTTTCTACGTCTTTGCCCTGATAATCACTTTCTGACGATGTCTTGGTCTTGTGAAAATAGCTCCAAAGACAATATGTTTCATTCGTGGTGTGGTGAAGCCATAATTACATACTTTGCAAGTTTCTACATCATTGTCACTATATATTTTTTAAAGTTCAGTTATGCATATTTGAATGCACATTTGTCATTTTGTATCCTTAACGTGACGTTACATATATCCGGAACCATTCCTGGTACTCTCCTACCGTGTCATTCTGTATAGCAGTCCATTATAATTCTCCGCAGTGATCTGAACACTGACAGATGTTCCTCCTACCGTGCGTAATACGCGTGAAGACCGTTCGGCGTCACACGGAGCTAATATCTCTCCCACGCACGTCACTGACGTTCGCGAGAAGACGTCCGTCTTTATGTTACGTCTCTGCGCCGCTATCGATCGTCAGGCAAATACTAGTACCTCATTCTGCTGTTATGAACTGATCTAGCTGTAGGGAAGGAACAGCGTGTGTTCGGGCTGGTTTTGTACGATAAGAAAATGAACATGTTAGGAATTTTGAAGTATGACAGTTTTTAAGTAACATTCTAGTAGCAAAAAAACATTCTCATTGTGTGCGTTTCTATTATACTGTACATCATCCAAAAGTATTTATTTCTTCCTTATAAGTTATATATTACGTATGTGCGCAGAGTTAATAGCCATCGATTTACGTAAAATGCCATAGGAGGAAACGTTTAGTAGCTTAGGAGAGCCTTGTCTAACAACGTATAAGTAGGACTCACATTTTGTAACGTAATTTCAATGTCTCTTTACATGTACAAAACGAGACGACATTGATTAACTGATACACGAAGCAGACTTCCAGAGCGCTGTAGAAGTACAATAATTCCCATATCATTTCATTAATGTCGTAAACTCTGGAACGGATTACATTCTGAATCCAATTACTCACCATTAGAGCACGCATTACGACAGCGTCCCTACGTACACATGGATAGATGGGAACCTTTATTGCATGTTCATGCCCATGGGGCTAAATGCATACATCAGAGTGTGATCATGTTACATGTATATTATACTAAATAACATTATACATGGGATACAAGGATAAAGAATAACGTAAAAGTCTTAGAAATTACTAGAGAATACATTCTATCTAATCTAGGTCTTGAAGATTTCGTCTCTCTTTTTCAAACAACTTGGGATAAATTCACATAGTTTTTATATTGTGTGGGCATTACTGGTAGACATGAGATGACCGAATATCTCTTTCTACCTTTGCACGTTTTGTCTAAGTGGATTGTTCTGAACAGTATACCACGTTCGGCATCATACAATTTACAATCAAGTACAAAATGTATTTCATCTTCTACGCTGATACCTATATAGAGATTGAATTTGCGTAAATTGACATGATCCTTTGATGTTCTCATCGAAAACAAATTTGATTTTGGGCTGGATGTTAGCTGTAAGCTGATGCCCCTCGAGCTCCAGCCAATCATGACACACGGTCTGCCGTGGGTCGCGTTTAATCCATAGCAAGATTGAATCGCTGGAAGACTGGGATGGATGGTTGTGAATGGGGTAAGGTAAGGTGAAGTAGTCATCCTCAACTGAGGTGACCCTTTGTTCAAGTAGCTATTGGTGGAATGCGGCTGAGAAGGGGCTGCACGAGCTAGCTCCATGGAGGAGCTCTGCAGAGCTCCTCCATGGAGGTTGCTCGTTCAGCCCTCAGCTCTGCAGAGCTCCTCTATGGAGGTTGCTCGTACAGCCCTCCGCGATACCCCCGCAGAGCTCTGCGCCAAAACAAGCCAATTCGTTGGTTGGCGTCACGGGTTCAGTTTTCTATAGAGCTCTGTGAGTAGTAGGCGATATACAGCCAGTACTGTGTCACAAATAAAGACTTCGTCACGCAACTCTGCGCAACACGGAGAGCTTTGCGCCCTAACAAGTCAATTCGTTGGTTGGCGTCATGGTTCAGTTTTGTATAGAGCTCTGTAGATATCAAGTTAATTCAATGTGAGTAGTAGGCGATACAGCCTGTACTGTGTCACAAATAAAGACTTCGTCACGCAACTCTGCGCACGACAACACAACTCCGACAACACGGAGAGCTCTGCGCCCTAACAAGTCAATTCTTTGGTTGGCGTCACGGGTTCAGTTTTCTATAGAGCTCTGTAGATATCAAGTTAATTCAATGTGAGTAGTAGGCGATATACAGCCAGTACTGTGTCACAAATAAAGACATTGTCACGCAACTCTGCGCACGACAACACGGATATTCGTATATAAAAAGTGATGTACCCATACATTTATAGTGGTATAGCCCATCTATAACCGCTGCCATCGATGGCATGGCGGAGTGGTGTTTTTTGTTGTTTTTTTCTCGTAAACATCAAACCGGGTTATAGAACTCAGCTATTTAAGTTGATGAATTCCAAAAACCTCTGAGTAGTTGGTTTTGGTTTAAGGTCTGTTTTCTACAACCAAACATTTTCTTTCCACACCTCTCCGGCAAAATTTACAACCGCAAATCAGGCCAAATTTAATATATAATTTAGGGGCAATACAGAAAGTACGTTGTTACAGTCATTCTTTACATAGTAAGTTGACCTATAACTCTTTAGAAAACAAGAACACTATTCGGAGAGACAACATCGTTTCTCCATACAAAACAAACATGCTTTTTCCACAGAATGTTGTAGTGTGATCGGTCAAGCAGTGTGCCACCCATTGTCCTGTATTTTACAACCAACATCCGTCCTAATCGAGACGGCCACCCGCGCACGAAACAAGTCATGCACAGTTGTGAACTAGGTGTGAACGTGCCATAATCCAAAAGACAAAAGAGTGCAAAAACTTCAATGAGCGATTCATCATGACCAAGATTTCAAAAGAGGAAAGTGTCATTATGATCTCTTGTTGTGTCGTCTAGACGCCCAGACAGTTCTGCATATCAGCCTGTATATAGAGGGCCAAATGACTAGTGGTTAGGCGAATTTACCTGTTTTGAGCGCCGCGGTGCGCAAAGAGGTGAAAGCAAAACTGAACCATGACGCCAACCAAAGAATTGACTTGATAGGGCGCAGAGCTCTCCGTGTTGCGCAGAGTTGCGTGACGAAGTCTTTATTTGTGACACAGTACTGGCTGTATATCGCCTACTACTCACAGAGCTCTATAGAAAACTGAACCCGTGACGCCAACCAACGAATTGGCTTGTTTTGGCGCAGAGCTCTGCGGGGGTATCGCGGAGGGCTGTACAAGCAACCTCCATGGAGGAGCTCTGCAGAGCTGAGGGCTGAACGAGCAACCTCCATGGAGGAGCTCTGCAGAGCTCCTCCATGGAGCTAGCTCGTGCAGCCCGCGTTTATAGCCAAGTGCTTCTCGATAAGTGCTTTAGCCTGAAGCTCGTTCACACATACACAGGGCCGCTGGCTTTACTAATATAGGGTAGGGAATGGGACAAAAGAAAGGATATCGATGTGTGGAGATAATGTAAAACTCGATCATGGGGACTTTGCAAGTTTGTTAATGCATTTGTGCTTGTACAATTGATGTGTACAATCAAAACATGATGTTAAGATAACGGTGTCCTGGTGCGTTTCAGCTTTACATTGTTGATCGATGAACTATATTTTTGGAACATTTCGGTCAAAAACTAGAGAAAAAATACGTACCCCTACCTACTGTTTTTTTTTTTGCAGAACCGCGAAACACAACATTGATGTTCCCATGCCTGATTTACACATGCCTGTCCTCACAACACGCCATTCTGCCAGGACACACAGAATGAAAATTACCGGACCGGCATTTACCGAGTCGTTTTCTCCGCCCAGCGGCAGGAGGGATCGATAGAGAGTTGATGTGGTCATCCATCAGGCTCCTTCCTCCGCGACCTTGACCGTTGGTCATTCCAGGAATTTGGCTTTTACTGGAAAACAAAATCTCTGTTTGAACCAAAGCCCACCTACATGTACATAACGTTAAACAGGGCATAGATTAAGTTCGATGTAACGAAAGCTTCTGTTAATCATGGAAACACGGTTACTCTGCGACATTGACTGATGGCCATTCCAGGAATTTGGCTTTTACTGGAAAACAAACTGTCCGTTTGAACCATAACCCAACTACATAACTTTAAGAACGGCCTGGATTTAGTTAGCTGTAACTAATGCTTCTGTTGATCATGGATAGACGGTCACTGTCCATGGTGCTGAAAGCTTTCTGTTTGTAGATGAAACAGGCATTTTGTTTTCAAGTGTTTTCTGTTTGCGTCCATAGATTTTACGAGTGTTTCAACGAGTGCTCAATGATTTCAAATGTACTAAGCTGATGTGCTTATCACTCTAATCATTTAGCCTCCTTCGCAGACTTCTGAGGCAGTGGCCGAAACCGTCTCTCCCCGGCAAAGTGGCCCTCGGCGGCAAAACCTTCCCTCGGCGGCATAGCTTGCGCCGCTCCCCGAAAAAATTAACACCGACTCAAAAGTCTGCGAAGGAGGCTACTAATCATCAATGGTCTCAATCAACCCAAACGCCTTTAAATTGTATTTCAATGGTCCCTCCCTTTGGAATGCCCACCGTTCTCGTATCTATATCGAAACGCCCTCCCCAAGCAGCTTAGTTCCATTTTGTCCGTATTCACGACCGATATACATGTAATAGATCCATATTCGATTCGTCACTTCAGCTAGCTATATGGTAATGCAAAGGTACAGCATCGATCTACGTACGGCGGCGTGCAGTTGACCGAGCTTCCTGCCTGGCATCCCCGTGAGTAATCCATCTGTTAACCGGTGAATGTTTCCTTCCAGTTCGTGACCAGGGACGGAAGAGGTTTCGTCTACAGTCTCGGTTCTCTCCGGGAGCTCAGTATGAAGAGATGCGGTCTGGGGGAGAAAACTACCGCACGGGGCAACCGGTCCAACGTGCAGGGCTTTGTGTACACCCTGACCAAGTCAAAACTAGGTAAATTGTGTAGCATAGCGTATTTTTGTTGTAGCCTGATATATGTATATACTAAAGCTATATTTATAATCATAGATTTAGCTTTTAATTTAATATACAAGGATTTGTCAGCTGCCATTTCCGCGAATATACAACTTCGAAAATATTTCGAATTGTAAGATTCATAATTTCAAATGTGTCCCTAACAATAACATATTTTTGTATCTACTCCGTTCACTCGTCCTCACTCCATTGGTAAAGTTAATTAGAGAGGAAAAAGTTAAAACTCAATTATCATAGGTACTACTGTGTATCATTGCACTGTTACTTTTCCCTCCCCCCATCCATCCATCCACTCACTCACTCACTCATTCATCCTCCCATCCAATAATCCATTCATTCATTCAATTTCCATACACTCATTCATCCAAGCACTTTCTTTTCATTTTTCAGGCTCGTTGAAGAAACTAAGTTTGGAAAACAACCGTCTGTCAACACTCCCTGTCCCGCTATTGGACGCGTTACCTTCACTAGAGGCACTGTTTCTGGGCAACAACACCATATCCGAAATTCCGGAAAACGTTTTCCTCAAAACTCCGGATCTCCGCATGATAGACCTCAGCGGCAACAGAATCCGGACGGTTTCCATGGAAACGACGGATCAGTTCGTCAAGCTGGCTTCCCGGCATTCCATTCGGGTGAACCTCACCAACAACCCTTTTTACTGCGACTGCGCACTGGTGGGGTTCATCAGCTGGATGCACCAGACGCGAAACGTCACGATTGTGAACAGCGTCACGTACAAGTGCACAGCCAGCCAATCAGGACCTCTGTCGGGTAGAAGCCTAATTAATTTAATCCCGAAATACCTCGGTTGTTCGTCGACGTCACGAGGTACGGGTTTGCGGCTTCCATACGCGGGGCTGGTCGTGATCGTCGTGGTTCTGTCGTTATTGTTCGTGACGGTGATGTACTTGAACAGGCGCGGCATCGCGCGGCACTGCACCGAGCTGCAGAACGCACGGAAGGGCCGAGTGGAGGAGCGGGATCGGCCGTGCGTCGCTCTGCCCTACTCAGAAGTGACGTCCACCATCTCGTGATCCCTGTAGTTCCGCCGCGTAGAGACAGGTGGCGCGATTTTTATGGTACGGTGTCGTGACTGGCGTGTTGTGTAGAAAAGACGATGTCTGACATTCCACGTAGTTTCATCACCTAGATGCCTTGTATATGTATGTATGTACGTATGTCACCTTCTCATCTGGTTGGTTATTGTACGTAATGTTTACCAATGTTGGCTCTGTACGTAGGTTGTACGTATTTAATCCTATCGCACACAGGTAAGAGTTGAGGTGATATAAATACACACTGACAACGACGGAAGGCCATGTTGATTTAGTGTATGCCTGTGGCTCTTTTATATTAATGACAACCACTGGGCACCCCAAAACTGATGCGAGCATGGGAAAAAGTTGGGAAATGACTGAACACATAGAGCATTGTATCTCTCTGTGTGCATTGTATACCAAACATCAAACTCTATAGTTTTGTTCTTTCACATCTTTCATTTTGAAAGACTTGTACAAATGATAGTGGCTCTATGGTCGGATTTGAAGGGGTTTATCTGCCAAATTTCGATGTAAACTGGAAAAATTACAAGCAATATTTCGTCCGGAATAAGTAACTGTTAGAAAATATCTACTGGGCAAATGATAGGCCACTGAGCACCTTAATAAGGCGGTTTTACTTGAAAATCTGGTCTGGCAATTAATTAGAACTTAACATGTATGAAACATGGACCATTGTATGCTTAGACTATCCAATTTAACAAATTAAAAGTGTATACATTAGCACTAAAGGTAGGAGAAACTGTACACTGACAATAAAGTTCTGTGTAAAAAGACGAGGTTTTTGTAGACCGACTACGCAGGTGGTGTTTGTCCGTGTTTACTTAATGTCTAGTACATCAATAAAAGGGCTTTAGGACATATTATACCTTTGCCATGTTCTCTGTATTCTCTGTATTCAAAACAGCGTCACTTATGTATGTGCTTTTTAGATACTGGTATGCCTGTCTGGTGTTTCTACTGATAAAGTGCCAGTACAGTCATTTGTCACTAGGTGGCGCTTCTAAGCCACCTGTTACTATTGGTAAAGCACCATTTTGTCCATGTTGATATCATTTGTGTCTACAAGGCGGCGCTTTTGCCAATCAGCTTACTAACGTTAGTTATAATATTCCCATTTGCATCAAGTGCACCGTTTAGTGTAAGTGCCTATATTAACTTTACATTACAGTTCATCTTTTCTATCACTCTAATCGCAGGTATGACAAACGGCAAGAAAAAGACAAATAAATTCCACGATAAGGCCACACCGACTTAATTTTATGGATGACATCCTCTGAAGACTTCCAAACTAGTGCGCGCGGGCGAATAAAAAAGATTCCGGCCAAAAATTTAAAAAATGCTACTAAAACTACAGGAATCATGCAAAGCTGGTACTGTGAATTTGCGGCAGTACATAGTGATGTATACGACAAGCCGGCACATATGCTAGCCTTTTGTACGTACTGAGTTCTTGAGCCGTGCAGCTTCGGCAGCCTGGGTGCCATCCTCCAGAGTTACTATGGACTACCTAGGCCTAGAGCCTCGGAGAACGTGATCTTTTTTTTTTCTGAGAACAGGCGAAAATCAATGCGGGCGCGGATGCCATAAAATTAAGTCGGTGTGGCCTATCTTGAGGTCAAAGAGAACAGATCTTGAGTGGCACTGTTAATCTGTTTACCATTAATGACTACTCCATCCATCAAACTGACACCGTAAACAGGGATGAGCAACCCGGGTGTGTCTTTACGGAAGGTGACGCCTGTTGCTATTGTGTTAAATGTGAGGGGTCAACGGACGCAAGGTCATTACGCCAGGAGTGTCACTTCGCTTGGTAAATCACCCATAACGTTACATTTAGTACGTAACTTGGAGGCTGACATAGCTTACATTGCTACAGAAGTCCATAAATGTTGCATCTTAAAAAAGAAAACTAAAGGGATGGTGTTCTTATGTTGGTTTCATTCGGACGGTTCGTTCGGCCGCTCGGTCGACTAGAAATCAGGTCATCTCTCTTATAACATGGAAGGGCATCATACCATTCTAATAAAATATCAAATTTATTATCCTTAACGACAGTTCACGTTGTGTAGTGCAAACTGGTGCATCTGTAGAGGTTAGCTCTTTCGGAGTTTGTTTTTGTACGTAATCCCCGAGGCCAGCTTTGTTGAGACAACATGCAGGTACTATCTCCTACATCAACACAATCTTTTCTTCTCTACCAGGGAGCCGTTACCAAATTCTCCTTAGGCCGGGATTTCTCCACATAAACAAACGAAGTATTACTATGTGCAAACCCACCACTCTGGCGTGGTTTGAAACAAGATATAACCTGGAAGATATTATGTGCTACTAGTATACTTCATAAAGTTAACGTACTAATATTTGGTTTGAATTAAAGCCAATCTTTTCACACTTTTTTTCAGATCCTGTCCTTCCTTTTGAACTATAACGCTACATGCTTGTCCTGTGTTTCGCGCGACTGCCGTGTCAGTGATGTATAAAGTGGCACAAATACCTACCGCAACAAAGACGGCGTCCTAAAATATAGTTTTCTGTCAATGATTTATGTGTTTTCTGTCGTGATGCGTCTTTCTTGCACTCACGTTTTTTTCACGTTTTTTTCTGGCGTGGCATCACATAACGTTACATGACGTCGCCAACTTCACGTCCCTTCTCCAAAAAAAACTGTGCCGTTTCCAAATAATCATGCAATCGCAGATACAAAACTACGCAATATCACAAAGCTTACTTAGTTACTAATAGTCTATCCGGGATACTCTTACACCCCATTATGATCCTCCTCAGACTCTTCTTTTGTCTGCCAAAAGAGGTCACCCAACCACCTGGACGGTACCATTTCAAAAGAAGGGTAGGTCATTCATCTGTGATAGCAGTCGGACAAGGTGCTTATGTCATGAGGCATTTCTCAATCGCCTTTTTGAACATCATCCGATCAAAGGATAAGTACATATTTGCACACACGAAACGAAGTAAGGGAACTGAATTGGCCGTCGAAAAGTCCTTAGTCCCCATTGTAGTTAGAACCACCTTTGCTTTTTCACCCCTTAGCGAGGTATCACCGTAGACGTTTGATTTTCAGTGCTTTAATGAGGGCCATAAATTTAAGATAATGGCTTGTCAAGAGGGTTTTTTAATTTGTTTGGAGTGACATGCACAAAAGTAAACATAAAGATAGGAATATAACTTGCTATCCTGAAATGGTATTTCGTCATTGACTTCACGAGTTGATTTTTAGATGATGAACGAAATGTGTCAGTCTTAATTTTTCTGTCCCCTTTTAAAATGAAATAATGGACTGTTCCTAGTGGAAATTATCCCCCTCAATCCCCCTGCTGCCGAACATGACTTGAGAGACTCCCGGTGCCTTACATCACCGGAAACACACCTGTCTCCGACAACCTTCTCTGTGAGACGGTTGAGAAGACAGCCGCCCGCACTTGAACCCTTCAAGCCGGTTGTTGCCGGAATTCAACAGCCTCTAGACCTGACTTCTAGGTACAGGTACGGGGCTCGTCCCCTCTTCAAACGGCGTCTACATATTTACAGCTGTCATACAGGTAGATTTACTTGTGAGAGTTTTACTTAAACCAGAGAGCACTGAAAGAAGCCTTCCCCGGACGGTGTTAGGCAGCCTAGGGACCAAGATGCGGTCTGCGGCGGTTCTGTTGTTTCTCGCGGGCGTCTTGGCATCGACTACCGGCAACGAAGGTAAGATTAATTTTTTTGTTATCTTCTTTTAAAAAGGTCTACTGTTTCTTGTACATCTGCCATTGCAATTTGTTCCATTTTACGTTGCAAAATTGGAGGCTGAAAATTGGTAAATAGATTCATTTTATATCAAATATAAGTACGAAGCCATCGTAATCTTGTGTGTAATGTTTATGATAATTTTAGTTTTTTTGTGAGAGTAGTTTCTTGTGTATGTTGCATTTTCTCTGTTTGGGAATCTTTTTGTCACAGAAATGATGACGATTCTGAAATCACATATCACTGAAAATCCCATGGCATATCACTTGCAAAATTATCAAATGCGCGTTCCCTTAGGAGAATACAAGATATCATATAACGTTATACCATGGCCAGACCCTATGAGATAGAGAAAACGATTATTCATTTGTCTATTATGGTATGAAATTCAACAGCAATACATGTACAACCTGTATTCTGACAAATTCAAGATAGTTGCGTATACACTTAACAGGTTTGCCCTCCCCTAAACAAAAAGACCACGGATATATTTTGAATATGAATACTTTGGGGAATTGTCTTGCTCGCGAATGGTTTGTGCAATGGTGCAACTTGTAGACAAACAGCCAAACATAAAGAGGCGTGTCTAGAATTCCTCTGGGACTAGAACAGGTAGGACTAGTGATGGGGATTCAGTCAAATTATTGTGGAAAACAGACATTTGTCTCGCATGTACGTACTTATGAGCTTAATGAGCCTCTAATTGCCTTTACACGCTACAACAGTAAAGAAAGACAAACGAAGATCATTGCTGACAAAACAAAAGGAAGACAAAACGTTTGTTTAACGTTTTCCACAGTTATATGGCAACGTTAATTTCTACTAATCACTACTACATATGATAGTAGTACCACGAAAGTACAACTGAAAACACCATTTCCTGTACGTAATGTTGTATAAATATTTCGGGGAAGGGTTTTCTACGTATACCATCCAAGCACTTTTTTGTGTAGTTGATTGTCTTTTTGTCGTTTGTTTCTTTTTTTTCTAGTTCTGTACGTTTTAGAAGGGTGGTTTTTATTCCCAGCAGCATCTAGAGACCATGACAAGGCACTCTGATAGCGTCAAGAAATGGGAGTCATTCGTTTCGTTCTCCCCCAACCTTTGTGTTGTGTCTTCGCTACGTCGTATTTTGTCAATATTTCTTATTGTTGGCTTGGAGTGCAGAAATGCAAAGCACTTGGCAAGCTTGTCTGTCACGATTTCAGACATGTCCGCCAAAAGTCGTCATAAAATAGGAAAGCCGATAACAATCTCAGGCTTAACACTCTAAAAGTTTTGTCTGTATACATACCCAAACATTGCCCCCAGAAATATCCTCGTATTCTTCTTCAAGAACGAGGGTACAGGACACATTTGAAATTCATTTCTTGGCCTGCGTGTGTCCTTCATAACTACAATTGTGATGATACAAAATTCCTTTGGAATTTCTGCTTAAAGACTTGAGATGCGTGAAGGGAATGATTGACATGCTTGTGAAGAATACAGGTATTTTTAAAGGGAGGCCTCAGGACTGGCTATAGGCTTGGCGACATCTAAGTTTAGTTTAGAACGAGACAGGGTTGCCTGATTTGCGTGGTGATCGCAGGCTGACTCCGGTTGTCGGTGGGTTGAACGGTCAAATTTGTTGTGTAAACTTGTAGCCACACAAACCGACACAATCTGGGGCCAACAAACACACAGCATGCAACGATATCCTGAACTCTACAACAATGTACGAGTCCCTAAGGAATGTATCCACAGCTATTTTGTGGTACTGGTAATCATGTGTGTTTAACCCACAGACACAACGCATCGAGGGTCTAAGAGAAATAGTCGTAGCGCAAGATTATCTTCATTCGTGCCTCGAGTTTGTTGACCATTCATGCAGTATAAATGATGATAACACGGTCGATAGATCGAGAATGACGAAGCAAAGAGGCGAAAGAATATAATAGCAGACCACAGAACTGAACGGTTTAAGTCATATCTTTCTGTCAATGAAAAACAAATTCTCTGTATGTGAACATAGCATGTGTGTTAGAGACCCCAGTGCATTTTGTGCATCAACTTTCTGTGAGCTTAAAAATTGAGATATTTTACCAGTTTATTTCTACGGGCAACTAAACTCTTGTGATTTACAAAATGTGACTTTTTTGAGACTGTAAACAAGATATAAATCCTTTGTTGAACGCTTCCCATACTTTAAAACCAAGGTTGTTTTAAAACCACGTTTTTAAACCCCTCCTAACGTAACTGACATAGCCGGTTACGGCAGGGTGAACCGACCATCGCCGCCGGTGTCCGGCCCAAACGCGCGTGTCAAAAAGATTGACACTTTTATCAGACGATATCTTGCGAAAAGGGCGGGAAAACAAAACGGAACACCAATATCCCGATATGCTGTCTTTCTTGAGATTTATGCTTTATCCTAGAAGGCGACGAATACTCGTATGTAGATCTAGATACGAAGTCAAACTACATACATTAAAGGTGCAGAAGTCAACCATGTCAAACACTATGATTAATTACGTGTAGGACTAAATACTGAGCCATCGAAAAGAGATAGAATAGAATTAGTATACGTGAAATTTTCGAGTTTTTTAGGGTATAGCGAAACTACACTGACAGGAACGCCCAGTGAACATTTAAAATCTAGGATACATTCGCTGAAGCGACTTTTGGTGTTGTCACTTCCAAAGCCTTGGGATTTGGGAAGGTTTTAGCGTTTGTCACTTTTTACCTGAGGGTAGACCCGCTGCCACAGGGCCTGACATTTCACGCCATTATGTCACAGCGGGGGATATATCTTCATCCTACCTGGTTACCATGACAACTGTCATAACAAACCACAAACAGAAGGGTGAAAATTATAAGGATGTGACGCAAACACAACAACGCAGACAAGAGAACAGCTGATGATTAATTATACTTTTTACAGTTGACTAGTGTTTTACGACTTCACGTAGTGTTTCTCAAAGCTGTGAAAATGTTAAAGGTCAGAAAGACAATTCAAAAATCCCACCCAAAATCTTCCTTAAGAAACTGAATATTGAAGACCTACATCAGAGGACATCTCCAGAGAGCCCTAAGTCGTAGAAAACTCTTAGAGAGTACATAGAAGGATTACTGTTCCTTGTGAAGCAAATGAAAGTGTTAAGAAGTGTCCTAGATTCTACGTGTAGCAAAACACGAGGCGGTATACATTACAGAAACAGACAATGGCGCCCCGGAAGTTTTAAACCAGTAGTTCGAAAGCTTTGAATAAGTCATGAAGGCGTTACACAATCTACTAACCCTACCTGCATATGTGAACTATGGGTGTATTGTTAACGTGTATCTTAGAATCTCTGAGCTAATTTTAGTGTAATAGAACCCTAAAGTCGAGACAAAAGGGTTCTTTGACGAAAATAAATCATTTCAAATGTCAAACTTAATTTCCCAAATCCTCATTCAAGACAAGGATTTCAAAAACAATGGTAGATAATGGTGTAAATACGTCATAATTTTACCATGGTAACTGGTTAGGTAACGAGTTAGGTAACATATTATGAATAGTACTTGCCCATTTTATCACTTTCGTACCTTCTGGAGAAAGATCGATTAGCTCAATGCAAAAGTATCCTTGTACTGTATAAGTGTTCAAAAAATGAGTAAAGATGACAAGTAAATAATTTAAGCGTCAAGCAGAGTCTTTCGACGCAGCAAACATGCTTCCCTGACTAGTTGTTCTAGTCCTACGGACTATAGCATATTGTCTGCATTGTACGGATCCGACAAACGCAGTTTTGATAACCTTTAGGATCCTACAGAGTCTGATATCGAGACTATAGAATTCCAGAACCTCCCCTAATCCCCGATAATGTACTCCTAATCCACACCGGAGGGTAGGAAAAGACGCCGTCCTTAAGATAAACCGCTAACGCTTCCAACCACCTGTTTGTTGAAGAATCAGCTAAAAAAAGTTGTTGCAAGTGTGTATACGCTCTGTTTAGAAACTCCCGTTCTTCAAAATTGGAACTAGACTGTTGTATGCGATGTTTAAACACCATCACCCCTGTCTCCCGCCCTTCTTAGAATCGCCCGTAGCTACCTATACCGTGCTACTGTAGTTATCTGCATGCCACACTGATAAGGACGTAATGACCATTCGGCACGTGTTCGGGACATGCGTGACATTATTGTGGGTCAGAAGTGTGCAGGCGATCTGTCCGGACAAAACGGTGCGACCGACGCGATAAGATTTGTAAGATGTGTGCGGGATGTACCGTGTGGAGTATTACAGTGTTAAAGCGATATTATGTATGATTTTCACTATCTTAAAAATCGCTGTTTTACACATTTTCGTACGCTATAAGTCTGCTGGGTTCATAGTAACATTTGGTGAGTAAAGACCAACATATACATAGTTTCGCCGCAATTGTAACATGTTGAAGCTGCCGAAGATACCCGAACGAAAACCGCTGTACGTTGCTTTACATTCTTTTTAGGAGCCTGCTAAAATACAGCGGGCCTGGCACAACTTAATTATTCTCGCGCTGTGAGTCACCGGAAAAGCGAAATAGCGACGCTAATATGTTGAAAGTTATTGAAAATGACAATCTTGATGAGAAAATTTCAATTATACACATGTATTCATATTTGCATTTTTGGCGCAAAAATCTTACATGAGATCGCTCTAACACGCAGCGAAAATCACATTGAGTTTATGAACATTGTATGGCCAATTAATTATCAAATGGAGGTATTTTTTGTTTGTATCTAACTGGCAGGGCAGTATCCACTTGACGTACGAAGTTAGCTGGCTAAAAAGATACCAGTAAAGAAAAAGAAAGTTTGAAAAAAATGAATAAAACTCTTCAAAAATAAGTCAAAGCCTAAGCCTCTGTTTGGAAAGTACCTCCTAGTCGATTTTCTTGCTGCTGCAACAAAACTTCCTCCTCTATTCTGGACATGCCATGGTTTTATGCAGTCTCCACTTT